TTGAAGGGTCGTATGGACACCGAGCTTGGTAAAGTTACCAAGCGTAACAACTACCTCGTGGAGGAGCTGGAAAGCTGGAAGCAGCAATTCCTCAAGTTCCAGGCCTTCGCTGAGCAGCTCACCAAGGAGACTCAGGACCTCAAGGTCAAGATTGAGGGCCACAAGCGGGAGAACCGTCGCCTTGCTGCCCTCATTGAACAGCAGAAGGATGACAACGGTCGCCTTACCACTCGTCTCTCTGGCACCGAGAAGCAGCGTGATGACGCCCTCGAGGCCCTCGTTCTCCAGCAGGAGATTGCAGAGGAACTCGAGCGTGAGCGCAAGAGGAACAAGAAGGAGCTTGCTCAGCTTCACCACACCAATGCCACCATCATGCGCCAGCGTGACGAGGCTCGTCGCGTCGTTCTGCACCTGCGTAGCTTGATTGGTGGCCAGAGCCACCACATGGAACACCTCATCCAGTCCCTCACCAAGCCTGAGGAGCTCATCCGCGAAGTTGAGGATGGCTATGAGTCGGACGAAGTTGAGGGTGGCGCTGAGACCCATGCTCTGCGACCTTCTCGCAGCAGCAACCGACTCTCCACCTCCAGCTTCGCTGACATGGCCGATCGCCACCTGAAGGATAAGACCGACGCCATCGCCCATATCGTTCGCAACATTGCGGACCAGTGCCAAGCTGCCGTTGACGGCCTGCAGCTTGCCCAGGATGCCGAATCTCGAGCCAGCACACGTGCTAGCCGCCGTATGAGCAGCCTATCGACTGCTCACAGTGATGATGGTGAGGACGCCCGCTCCACCGCCACCTCGGACGCTGGCGAGGGGAGTTCTCGCTTACAACCAACTGCCGGGAGGCCTAGCTCTATACCACCAACGCCGGATCTCATCCCCAACCGCAGTAGCACTGCACTATCGTTTGCGTCAACCGCCACAACGCCAGAGCGCGCCAGTCAACAGTACTCTATTCGAGACGAGATACCAACCAAGATTGTCGAGGACGATGAAGAGGACTTCGATGACGGCCGAAGTGATCAGGTCGGAGTCTCCAGCGACCACGGCATCGTCTCGAAGAAGCAGTCGCAGTCTCTTCTCCACCGATCATCTGGAGCAAGAATCAGCGCTTTCGGCAGTCTCCGATGAAGGTGAGACTGAGGCTGAACAGGGTATCCCTGATGCAGAGGGCAAGCCCAAAGCTGAGGAGGTTGCCTCTGATGACGAGAGCAAACCCAATGCTGAAGAGGTTGCTTCTGATGACGACAGCAAAACTGAAGTTGAGCAAGGTGTCTCTGCTGAAGAGGTTAAGCCTAAGACTGAACAGGCTGTCTCCGAGGCAGAGGACAGCCCTGAAGCTGAGCAGATCAGCGATGCCCCGCCAGCCTAGTTACGACCTTTTTATTATTGCCGATGCTTCCCTGGCATCTCTACATTTTCTTTGTCCTGATTCCTTCGATACGGCGATCCAAACTATATATCCTTGTATCTTGAGCGTTTTCAGCCTCATTGGGCAGATATGCTTAGCTTCTTGTTTTGTGGCGGCTTTGGATAAAAACAACCTTGTTTTGGATCACGGCGTTCTTTTCTTTTCTGTTCATTTGCGTTCCCTGTTCTACCATTATCCTTATCTTTTACTATATTCTAGATGAAGGGAACAGCTTGTGATGGCAGGCTGACTGATGACTTGCGTGGCGCCATCGAGGCTTAGGATCTCTTCTTATTCATGACTAACATTATTCTTTCTCTGCCCCTATTTGGGGGATCTTATGACACTTGATAGTTCAAGATTTTACAATTGAGTCTCTCGCTCATTGACCTCCTGTGTTTTCCTTATAAAAATCATTTGTGAAAAGGTGGCTTAAGTTGTTTCCTGTGCTAGACTGCTTGGAGGATCTGTAGATGTTTTGTAATTGCATGTTTAAAAGTTTTTTCTTTGTTTGTGAAATGTATTTATTAAGTCTTAATATGAGTGATCCTTAGTTCTCAGTAACATCTTTGCTGGCCAAAACTTGACGCTGTGATCCAAACGAAGTTGAAGACATGCAGTAACAAACTCGAGGCGGCTTGAGTGGAGCAGAGAGCGACTCTAGACCCACATATCTCACTAAGATAAGAAAAAATCCGATAAGAGCTGTGCATCATCAAGTCCCTGGAAATTTCAGGAAAAGAAGTTCGCGACCATTCAACATCTCCGTCTCCAGGTTTCACACAATGGCCGAAGCCGTCCTCACGTCTCTCTGCGGCATCTGCCACATCTGCCCTCCGAAATACAAATGCCCCCGCTGCAACATTGCCACCTGTTCATTAAAATGCATCACGACGCATAAGGCTTGGTCGCAATGCAGCGGCGAACGCGACCAAACTGCCTATGTCGCCAAATCGAAGCTGGCGACGGCCGCTGGCATTGACCACGACTACAATTTTCTGCATAGCATCGAGATGGCGTCCGAACGCGCGGAACGGGTCTTGGTGGAAGACAAAGGCATAATACAAAAGGACGAATTACGACCGCTGACGGTGGAGGAAGTGAGATGGAAAGTGGGCAGAGATGGGAGGAAGAGAAAGGTATTGATCACGAGAGTCTTGAAACAATCCAAAGAGAGACTCGCGGATAAGCTTCTTGCGAGCAAGCTTAAGAAGTTGAACATAGTGGTTGTGTCTGCACCCCAGGGCATGACGAGGCAGAAAGAAAACAACACTACGATAAGCAGAAAGTCTGGTCGGATCAATTGGCAAGTCGAGTGGTTCACCTTCGAGAGGGATCTTAACGATACGAATAAAACGAACAAGTCAAGAGTTCTTTCGAAGCTTTCGGACGATGTGCCGCTATACGTGGGATACAATGCGTTGTTGGAAACCCAAGCGAAGACGGAAGGCAAGGTGCAAAAGCGGTCCTACAGAGGAGTCGCGCAGAATCCCTCTACTTCACATTGGCAGTTGGCGAATGATACCCTCCAGGACCCTCAGACAGGGAGCTGGATTTCAATCCGAACGGCGTCGATTGACGCTTGGCCACGAGAACACGATGAGTTGCAGCGACGGCAGCATCAGTTCTTCCTTGAGAGCGCCCAGAAGCGATCAAACCAACTTGTCACCCTTACGCCCATTCCATCTGAAGAATGTCTTCGAGACGTTCTTTCTAATACCAAAGTTTTCGAATTTCCGGCGATATATGTCTTGCGCGAGGGAGAAGCTTTACCGACTGGCTTCGTGCTAGGTCCAAAAGACACTATCTCGGGTCATGAAGAGCAGCAACGAAATGGTAAACGCAAAGGCGGTCCGCAGCAAGGAAGAGATAAGAGCCGACCTGCGAAACGGAGAAGACCAGGCGACACACGAGATGTCGAAGAGGGCGAACTCGGAGGGCCGGATGAAGAGGCCCAGGATGGCATGGAAGCTGGGGATGTGATTGCCGAGCAAAGCTTGAGCGAGGGCGATGACGATGATACCAGTGATGATGATTCTACTAGTAGCTCAGGATCGGACAGTGACTAAGGAGAGACAAGGAATGGATGGGAGCGTTTGAGGGCGTCTTGGCATAATGATTTGGTCGGTTAGCAAGGCTGCTGCCCTTTTCTTTCGGCTAATCTAGCGATTGGATTTACGTTCAGGATAAATGTACAATATAATAGCGAATTTCACATTCAATCATTCTCCCTCAAAAAAAAAAGCAATTCCGAAAGTCCAAATTCCATTGCTACCAATCGCTGAAGTTGTGGTCTCAGTCCGCTAGAATTGTATTGGGAGAGGTTATGGTTATCCTCATCAGACCTATCGTTGCAAATACATTTTAACTATCTTTCGGACCACCCGGCTTCTGCGGAGTTTTCTATTTGTCGGCAATTATATTCTACGTAGCTGACCCATTATAAGCCCCTGCAAGTCCGCACAACCGCTGGGATGGTTATCCCTATAGAGTAATGTAAATCTGTTTTGGACTACTACTCCATGGCAGCTCCGCCCATACTGGGGCATTAGTTATCGCCGCAAGTCAAGGCTTCAAGTTCAAATGATCTAACCAGTCTCAAGCTGCATTGGGGCTACGCATAGGACACCGTAGTGTAGTTTCCACATAATATTCATTAAAGCCGTCCACTTCAAAGTTCTATCCAGTTAGGTTGCCCAGATGTTCTAGTTAAATTTAGTACTCGGAGAGTTCAGCAGGATTTCATAGTTGCGCGGGAATAATACTCAAAAGCATATAATCAAAGGGTAGTAAACTGCTCTAACCAGGGTGATGCCCTAGTTGATTGGCGTAAGAAGACACAGACAGCATAGAAAACAGCACAGATAAGGGAGTTATAAGGCTGTCCAGGAGCCGATCTTAATGTTAATGACCTAGTACTATCGTAATATCTCCAATAGCACAATTGACTGTCGGAGTACATACGTCCCAGGCGATCTTCAGCCTTGTCTGCGCTGAGATATTCTATCTTACTCTTCAGTCTTAATACTTAACGGGAATGAGATGTAGTTTAGCCAAAAATGTAGGGATTATTTTGATCGACGGAAGCATATCAAGTGGTCGTGAGTCGTTAATGTCTATGTTGTTATTAATCTCTGTTATTTACGTATTTAAACTTCATATCGGATGAGATCATTATTGATAGCTGGCTGCCACTTGAGAAGTGCTGCTTCAGCTGGTTGGCACTTCTTGAGCGTGCTGAAGATGGAAGAGCACAATCCGAAAGATATGGTCGGCTATAGTGCTAGAGGGTTAGCATCAGAAAGTCAGAATAAAGATTCATATATCTGTCAATTGCTTGGTCATTATACTTAGATACTAGGATCGTTCTTTAAGTTAGGCTATCACAAATTCCGCGGATCTCCGCATACCTCTACAAATCCGCAGTTAGCTATTGCCATAGAGACCTGTCATTATATTTTTTGGGGGAAATTTAAAAGCACGAAATGTCTTCACAATTTAAGCCAGTTAACATGACTGTGAATACATGCGATTCATGCGACAAATCTGCAAACTCTTCCTCCCAACCATCTAACAAATTATAATGTCTACTGTGCAACCAGGCGGCTTGATCCTTGTGAGCGGTGCCGATGGTTACATTGGCAGTGCTATTGTAAGGGTTCTGCTTGATTATGGATACTCTGTTCGAGGCAGTGTCCGTTCTGTCTCGGACAATCACTGGATGATTTCCCATTTTGGACCGAAATTTCACTTAGTTGAGATACCAGATGTCAACATCGCCGGCGCATTTGAAGACGCTATCAGAGGTGTTCAAGGCATCGTGCATGTTGCGGCCGACACGTCAATGGCTGCTAATAAGTCAATCGTGACACAGACAGTCCAAGGGACCATTGGACTGCTTGAAGCTGCTGCCAAAGAGAACTGCGTCAAGCGGGTCGTGCTGACCTCATCTCAAGGAGCGTGTGTCTCAGCAACCCCAGGACAGCCCTACAAAATCAATAAAGACACCTACAACGATCACGCCGTGGAGATGGTACTGGGCCGTTCGGATTCAGATCCGGATCAGGAAGCGGTGGATTATAATCCGCTGCAGCGAGGAGCTATACTGTATCAAGCTGCCGAAACAATGTCCGACAAGAAAGCCTTTGAGTGGGTTCACGATCACGAGCCACCTTTCGTCTTCAATTGTGTTGTGCCCAATCTCAACCTTGGCGGTGTTGAGTTGGTCGAGCATCTTGGTCTTCAGAGCAGCTCCGCCGCTATCGATGGTTTGGCACATGGAAATAGCTTGGGTGCGCAGTTCTTCCCGTCACAGTGGTTTGTCAACGTCAAAGACACGGCTCTGCTTCATATGGCGGCGCTCACCATAGAAGAGGTCAAGTCTGAGCGCATTTTAGCCTTCTCAGCAAGCTTCTCGTGGAGGGGTATAATCGACATTCTCCAAAGGCGTTACCCAAACAGGACATTCGCTGCAGTCGACGAGTCTGCGGTTGATCTGGGCGAGGTCGATAATTCTCTTGGAATTCAACTACTGAAAAGGCTGGGGAGACGTGGGTTTCGGAATTTGGAGGAGACGGTTGTGGAAAATATGGAAGCCGTCATTCAGGCGGAATCCATGCCTCAACCCCCAAGGAGTCGCTTGGAGGTCGTAATGGAAACCATAATGGCGACAGATAGCACGGTGGAGAAAGAATCTTTGTAAATATAAAATAGGAACGGGGTTTCACTAGTCTGAAATCTTAATTCAAATAAAATGCGGGGTAGTATAGCCAACTTGGGAATTTCTGAAGCGCCATCTTCTATATCACCCAAAGCCCACCTCCTTTCTGCCGTACAGCATCCCTGATGGTCTACTTAGACTGCTCAAATACGGTAGCCATGTACATGAAATGGTGTAAGAGGACATACAACTCCTTCCACGATTCTATCCATAGCTTAACATTTGTTTAACTAACATGTGATTGCGTTCTCCTTCAGACAAACCGCTGAGTCTGCCACCAGTGGCACCTCGTCTCATTGACTTGAGATGAGGAAAGTGTGGGTGCCGATGCCGAGATGTCTACCAGAGCACCATCCTTTCCAAAGAAGGGGAAAGGACGTTTCTCCCCACTCACACTATACGTCGGGATACCAGTCATGGTGAAGCCAACAATAGCTTCTTGGAGCGTCCGCTGCGCCGATGTCGAGGCAGGAGGGGTCGTGGGGTCATTAAACGTGTAGCCAAGATCTTGCGTGTGGGCACCTGGGGTGACAGAGAATTCATCTGTTAAAGCGCGGAATTTTCAGCCTTTCAAGTTCAGAGGATAATGATTCATGGTAGTGAATCTTCCTGGGTTGATCGCTACTTACAAGCGTAGGTGTGGCTATTATTAAAGCTGCCTGCTAACAGAAAGTTGCAGTCAACAAAGCCCTCGCCCCAGAGCGCCATTTGTCGAGTGTCATAGTCAGTGTATCCCCTGGAGCCGTCAAAAATGGGCGGATATAGAGTCTTCATGAGATACTCCTTCGTTGACGAGGGTAAGCCAGCAATGGAGTTAGAGAGCCATTCGCTGAACTGTGCCTCCGTCTTAACAGAAGGGTCGAAGAAGATGCCTCCTTCAAAAGAATTGTGGGCAACCAAAACCTTGACATTCGGGTCAAATTTGGTGTAGGCGGAGAGAGGGTTACGAACATAAGAGCCATCGGGCACGACATTATAAACAAAGGTGTTGAAATCCGCGTTGGCGACTTGCTGGGCATTGGCGTTAATAAGGACTGACTGGTTCACCTTGCGAGCCTCGTCAAGGCTTGTGGCATTGATGCTGGCCATGAAGTCGGGGTAAGCCGACGGGGGCTCGGCCAAGATAGGCGCAATAGCGGGAGACTGGAGGATGGCCTGGTGGAATGGGGTGCTGCCGGCCTTGCCTCCGTTGGCCGCCATGTGTAGCAGGATAGACGCAGCGCCACCAGATTCGCCAATTGCAGTGACGTGCCCAGCGTTTCCACCAAACTGGCCAATGTGTTTCTGAACCCATTCTAGAGCAAGGCGCTGGTCCAGAAGTCCAACATTGAGGACGCCTTCCTTCTCGACTTCAGGGCCTGCCAGGAACCCAAAGGCGCCGAGGCGGTAGTTTAAGGCCACAACGATCATACCGCTGCCATATTCTTGCTGAGACGCGGCAAGAAGACCACTGGGGATTGACTGGCCAGAGGTGCCCAGCTTGGAGCCCAGAACAAGGCCGCCACCATGAATCTGTTGCCTACAAGAGACACGTGTCAGCACGTTTCCGTCCGTCCAAAGTAACGCCTCAACAGGAGGAAGGACCAAAATACTACAGCCACTCACATAGACTAAAACAGGTGCCTTGGCAGACGTTTTCTCCTTAAATACTTTACCTGGAACGTAGACGTCTAGAAAAAGGCAATCTTCCGAGGTCTGAGTATTGAAGTTGATAGGGGGAACCGTTTCATTGAAGGCATTCTCCCAGGAGGAGATGTTGAACGGCACCTTCCCCGATCCAAATACACCAATGGTCGTCTCGGCTGCAAGAAGCCAGTTGGGGAAGCCTTGCGGGCATTCGCGGAACCCCGAGCCGTCTTGGACTGTCTCGCGGTCCGTCAACGGCTCGCGTGGCGCGCGGAAGCGCAGCTCGCCCGTGGTATCCTGGCCGTACCGGATGTTGGAGAAGGTATAGATGTCAGTAGTGGCATTATACGACGTAGCTTGCTGACGAACCTACGGAAGAGATGAAAGTCTTATTAGTAAGGCATGAGGAAGGGCTTGCAGTTTGTTAGGTTGAAGGGGAGCTTACATAGCCGAGATCGATGATGGGAAGGGCACTGCAGGGACTGGCGATGGTTTGCTCAAGGAGCAAGCTCAACGCCAGCACGGAGGAGACAGCGCGCATGATGCTGGATGGGTAGAAGTGTGACAGATAACGAGAATAAACCGGTTTCTATACAATTGATGAGAATGGAAGAAAAGAAACGGCGCTATTTGCCTGAACTAATATGTTGTTGATGTGATAGAATCTTTTTGAGGCATCCACGGTGATGTTCTATCCCTTATATACACGCTTCTTAAATCAACTAAGGTCTAATGAACCTGCATCGGATGATATCGCGGACAAGAGCCGGCTGCCCATAATCCGACTGATAGGTTCGTCACCATGCGTGCTACACGGCCCATGATGGCTATGAAGCTGTTCAAATATCCCAAAGGGGAAATGTATATCTCGAATTCCGCTAGCAGACGGAGGAACTCTTCTGGAAGGCCCCGATTCAGCGGAGTTTTCAGTTGGGTGAGGCGGCCGAACTTGTGGAGTCGAGAGCAGGGCTGAGTGAGTATGGTTCTAAATCCAATTAGAGGTGCAGAGTCGATTACATGGATCCTGGCCATCAGTGTTGGTTGATTGACGCAAACTCAGGACGGAATTCCAACAGACTGGGCCGACGCAATGGCGAGCTTGCGCTGTAGGTGTAAGATGAGCCCTACGCCCTGCAATGCCTCACCGCACAGACAACCACTGCCGAGATGGTGGTGATGTGACAGTAAGCGCTAAATGCTTTTAGGAAGTGTGTCTTCGATTAAAAACTGTGTCTTCGAATCTGTCCTGGTGCCACTTAACAGCCAGTCGGGATCGATGCCGACGAAGTGGACTTCGTTCCCGTTTTCAAATAAGCATTGCTAACTACATGATGAAGCCAGCGGGATTGATGTTTTCTTAATACTGTAGTATTGAACAAATTCGCGTTTGTTCGGCGGTTACCAAAAATAGATTGCAAAGTTAAGAGAGCAGCCGCCTCGAAATGAAATGTGAAAGAATGAGTTTTCTGTTATGCTTAACATAAAGCGGGTATATATGCCTTGAATTGGGCCTGCGCAGTGTTGTTATTTTGCGGTGGTTTTGGCTTCTTTACTCTGGAGGGTCTGAAAATGGGATACGTTGCATAAAACTGAATGTGTTGAAAGGGTTTGGTAAGGGCTTTTTGAGGTTGTCAGGTACCTAGAAGCTTTCACGCTGGAAAGAAGCGTCAAAGTTCAAGCTATGACCTCGTGGTTTAAAACGCAGGTCTATAAAAGAAGAGGTTTGCTCTTTGTTTTGGAAGGTTCAGAGATAAATACAGTCATTATCAGATACCTAGCTACCAGGAAGTGGCTAGAATACATATTGTTCCCTTCTTTAACTCCATCACTCTCCTCTTTATGCCCAGCTCTCTGACAGGAAGAAATTATTTTAGGAATAATTAATTTACTATTTAGGTTCATAATTTATAAGAATATATTATTAAGTATAATATTATATTAATAAAAAGTTTCAGTTTTTTATTATAATATTAGGGGTAGGATTTATATATATTTATATACTTATATATATAATCTATAAAATCCATATAGATAAATCGGCTAGTGATACCCTGCAATAACACTTTGGTGGCGCTCTACCTAGTAGTGCGTGCCAGTAGCAGGCGTGGGGTGCTGTGGATAGCCCACTCTCTCCTTGGTGCCCTGTACACGCCTCGGTGCCTTAAGCTCCGTCTAACAAAGGTACCGAGTACCTCCTGCTTCCCGCCTAAAGCAAGTACGCAACCTCGAGACAGCATCGTCACAACTTTGGCTTCTTTACATTCTTCGGCCAACGCATCTCCAAGCCTTCAACACGCGCGCTCACGCGGGGGCAGGGCCTACAGGGGGACAATTGCCATTGATTTTCTACGCTCCGCCCTGGACCTCGTTCGTGCGTCTTTCTTCCGCCTCATAGCAGCCCGCGCACTATGATTTAACAAACCTCGAGCTTCCCCCCTTCTTCCTTTTCTTCCCTTCTCTCCCCTATCGCCAACCCAATCCTACCAGCCATGGACGACGCTCCGGTTCCCAAACTGTCGGATCTGCTGCGGCACCCGGACGATTTAGACAAGATACCCGCGCTGAAGCTCGAGCTTTCGCGCAAGAAGAGTGCCGTCGATGGGCAGCTACGCAATGGGCTGCGGGAGCAGCTCGAGACGACGCAGTCCGGCATGAACGGCCTCAGCGACGGCCAGAAAGCGGTGCAGCAGATCAAGGAGGAGATGATGAAGATTGACAAGCTGTGTTCCGAGTCGCAGACCATGATCAAGGACTTTGCGAGCATCAACCTGGTGTCGCAGGCGCACCGCAACTTTGGCGCCGTCGAGGCCATGAGACGCAACCTCGAGACGTTCAACGAACGCCTGGCCGTTGTCGAGAGGATGCTGGCGGAGGACGACGAAGACAGAGAAAACATGCCGAACTTGCTGCCGTGCCATTACGAGCTGACGCAGCTGCGAAACATACGAGACGACGCCATGGAGCAGATCCAGAGGGCAGATGACCAGAGCTTGGAGTCGACGCTGGAGGACTACTTTACAAGGCTGGACGATACAATCGACTGGTTTGACGAGCACGTCGGCATTCTGGCCATGAACCTCATTAACCTCGTCGTCAGCGACAACAACGGCCTGGTGGTCCGCTTTGCCGTTGTCATGGAGGCGGAAGAGAAGAGCGACCAGCGTGTGCTGGCGCTGCAGGAAGCTCTCAAAGACCACGAAGAAATGGCAGCCCGATTTCAGGGCATCACAGACGGTGCCCGGAAAGTCCGTGGCTACAAGGACAAGTTTATGCAGGCCATCAAGGTCAGTGCCGAGCAACAGTTCCAGCAGGCCCGGGAAGACTTTCTCGACGATGCCGATAGCCTAGAGGCGACCATGAAATGGTTCTTCAACGACCTGAACGCTGTGAAGATTGGCATGACGCCGCTCATGCCCAAAAAGTGGCGTATCGCAAAGACATATGCAGACATCTACCACGTTCTGATGCACGACTTCTTGATCGGTATGGTGGACGATCCGGAAGCCAGTTCCGCACACACACTCTCCATTGTCAGCTTCCCCGAGAAATATTACAAGAAGATGTCCAAGATAGGCTTCAAGCAAGAAGACCTGGTACCGCACGTCATCGACAATCGCGAGGCGGAGCTCGTTCGCGACTTTAGACAGCTCATTATCAAATTCCTCGACGAATGGATCGACCGTATCTTTGAACAGGAGAAACGCGACTTTGCCGGCCGCAACATTGAGGGCTCCAACTTGGACCAGGACGAGTATGGCTATTTCCGGACCAAGAACCTCGTTGCGCTGTGGAGGATGTTGCGTGAGCAGATCGAGGCGGCCATCAACTCGCAGCGTGCAGACGTGGTTGAGGGTGTCGTCGACGCCATGTTCCTACGGCTACGCACCCGCCAGCAGTCGTGGCAGCGCATGCTCGACGACGAGGCTGAGCGCTATGAGAGTGACCGCATCCCCGATTTGGAGGGCTTCCAGGCGCTGCAGGATTGGTTGGTAGCCACGGCCAACGACCAGATCGGCGTCATCGACGACAACGAGGAGGAGAACCGCCTGGGCTACCTGTCCAGCTTCCGCCAGCAGTTTGAGAGGAACGTTGGCCCGCAGTACCTCGAGCGCACTGAGCAGGAGCTCAACACCCTCCGCGACGGCTACGTCGACTTCAGCACCTGGTGCATCCACAAGTTCGCCCACCTCGTCTTCACCGTCGACTTCCGGGGCGTCATGCCCGACTTCTTCACGCCCAAGTGGTACACCAACACGGCCATGAAGCAGATGGTGGTCACCTTCGAGGAGTACGTCGGCGAGTACCGCCAGGCCCTGCACCACTCCCTCATCGACATCTTCATCGAGATCTTCGCCGACGAGCTCCTCGTGCGGTACCTCTCGTCGGTGCGCAACAAGGGCGCAAAGTTTCGCCGCACGGATCCCTTTCGCGACAAGCTCTTCAACGACATCGCCACTGCGTTTGAGTACTTTTCGAACCTGGCCAGTCCTGAGGTCGCCATGTCTATCAAGGATACGTGGCGTGTCACTGAGCCCTTCTTAGGCCTGCTTTCGGTGGATAAGGATTCGGTGGCGGACGCGTTTGCCAACTTCAAGACTGCCTACTGGGATCTGCAGATTAGTTGGGTCGAGGCCGTGTTGCGGTCCAGGGATGATTTCGAGAGAAGTATGCTGAATGCTGTCAAAGCAAGGGCGGCGCAAATGGACATTGTGAGAGGCCCAGAGACGGTCATGGCCAAGATTAAGTAAAGAGAGACAAAAGCATGCTCTCTATACGGTGTATGTATATATGCAGCAGCAGAGTGAGAAGGGGCGGAAAGAGACGTTCTGTCTTCAAGGAGATAGTACGAAGTGTGGCTGGTTTGAAAGGAGGCTTACTTTGGGAATCTGGTGAAATGAATGGCGGATGGACGGGGGAGAAGTTTTGTCTTAACGTGGATGGATGGAAAGGATTTTATCACGACTTTTTAAATGTTTACATATGTGCTATATTAGCGTTTCTATGGATGTCGGTGGGCATGTTATACAAGAGAGGGAGAGTGAGAGAGAGGTAGCAGTCTTATCAGAGTCGAGTTGAGTCGAAATATATCTCACACATCAAAGTCAATCCAGGCATAATGAATGAAAAAAAGATGAGAAAAGAAAAATGACCCGAGCACCGCGACATGCCCCCTTTAAATCAAGGTTGAATACATGCCTCGTATCCCTGTAATTGCTGAATGACAATCTCCCTCCCATACCCTTCAATACACAGCTCAAGAAGAAAAAGTAGAACAAATGAGAAAGGAAAATAAAAGGAAAATTGTAATAGAACAGGACACTAGCGATCGATTTATGTTGGCGATTCCTCCCCTCCAACCCCTTCCCAAGATCCGTAACGTACTAGTAGTAGAGCGCGACTGCGACGGCCTTTTACAAAAAACAACCCGGCCCCTTATTGAAGAAGAAAATAAAACACAATGTCAAGAAAATTCAAAGTCCCCGCCCCCCATCCCCTTACGACAAAAGAACGAACGAACGGTGTTTGCTATGCGATAATGTTGCTTTTCTCCTTCACTGCAAATGGAAAGCTAAAGCCGGCATCAAGGGCGAGTTATCCCCGCTCTCGATTTGCCTTTAAGACTGGCTGGCAAGAAAGTTGGCGGCCTAAGCAGGGACGGGTCAGCTATTAAGAATTTTTCTCATTCATCCATCCCCTTCGGAAAAGAAAGACTTACTCTTTCCAAGTTGTAGTCATATTTTTCGAGAGCAGCGAGAGCGTCAGGACGAGAGTATCCCATGCTAGTCAGATTCTTGAGGATGGGGTCATCATGCTCTCCCGCTTCCGTGAGTGCACGTCCCGGAGCCGGGGGGCGAGACTCGGCTGTCTCTTCCTTTGCAGGGCCTGTGTTGTTGCTGTGTACAGGCTGTGCTGGGGCGGTAGTGGGAGAATCCAGTGTGGAGAAGATGGCGTCCCAGTCATGGGACTGCTGTCCGTTGGTAGATTGACCAGGGGCGCTGGTGGCCGAGTTAGATGAGATAAAGTCAAAGCTGCTCTCGTTGCCAAACGCTGTAGACTCGCTCTTGGCCTGGCTGGCTGGGGGGCTGCTGTCAAACATGGGGTTGTAGTCGTCCAGTCCAGACCGAGAAATGTTGGCAAAGTCGTCATCCGCGGAACCTTCCTTGGCATCTTCTAGACCCTCGAAATCATCATCGAGGTCATCAAAGGCGCCCTTGGCAGCTGGAGGAGGGTTGTGGTGAGCAGGTGCTGGGATTGTGCTGGAACCAAAGATGTCATCAGCGTTGGATGTCGGAGAGGTGGTGGCATGGTTGTTGGTGATCGTGGCGGGAGAAGAGGGCAATTCCGTGCTGCGGAATTTGCGTTAGTGAATGATGGCAAGGAAGCGGAACGATCAAGCATCATCAAAATTCAAGTTCAAAGGCAAATTAACCACTTCTGCGCATTTACCTTTTAGCTTCGGATTCGTGGGTAGCTGTAATATCCTGAGATGGTGACAAAGGGGCGTTTGAGTCGGAGGCTTCAGCAGCAGGTCTGTGAGACTCTAGAGTTGGCTCCAGAGCAACCTGCTTCTCCTTGGCCTTGTTCTCTGGCGACGCGGGTGCGAAATCGTCGTCAAAGCCTCCTCTCTCACTATCAGACTCAGAGACGTCCCGCTCAAGCTCAGAAATGGGCGGGAATTCTGTGTCAAAGGCGTTGTCGAAGGCGCTATGGGGCTTTACAGCAGCAGCTCCCTTGTCTGCGCCGCTGCTGCTGGGGGGTTTGGCTGAGGTGAAGGCGGCAAATGCATTGTCAAAGTCTGCCTTGGCCTTAGCATGGTCAGTATTGTCAAAAGAGCCGGATCGATCTAGTGCTTCTCCCTCCGCGGGCTTCTGCGAGCTATCGCCTTGAGCGGCCGGGACGGGGGTCGCGCTGGCGCTATCATGTTTCTCCTCTTCTTCGCTGGAAGCGGCAGCCGCAGGAGCCTTGGCCTCTGCGGCGCCCGATGCCACACCGCCGGGGAAGGGGAATGAGCCGGACGCCGAGCCTTCGGCACGTGAGGAGGTAGGGGGAGACACTTGTCGCGACGAAGACAGTGACTCGTTAGGCTCGGGGAACGGCAAGAAGCTCGAGCTTAATTGTCTGGACTCTGGCGGCGCAGGAGGTTCAGCACTCAGCGTTGGGACGCGGCTGACATTGGGAGTCGGCCCTGAGTTGTTAGAAAAGGATCCAACACTAACTGATGACTGCCCCGTGTTCTGTTGTTTGAATGCTGCAACTGGCGGGGGAGTGCCGCTGGAGCTGACGGGGCCGGGGCCAAACAAATCGTCGAAGGACCTGTCGGAGAAGGCCCTATTCGGGGGCGGCGGTCCAAAGACGCCCATGATGTCTGTGCTGGCGGAACGCTTGAAGAAGGGGTTGTTACCGCTAGAGGTCGAAAGTGCAGGGCTGGCCATCTGCGCCGAGGTAGATACGGGCGAGCCCGTCTCTATCTGGCGAGAGATGTCTTCGGCGCTCTTGGCCAGAGATTCGGCCTCTGCCTTGAGCTTGTCGCGCTCTCCCTCAGTGGTGGATAACTGCTTCTTGTTAATTGCAACGAGACCCTTCTGCTGCCTGGCGTCCAGCTTGAGCTTTTCAACCTGAGGCTTGAGCTCGGCGATCTCGGCGTTCGCCTGACGAATGCGCTCTCTCAGGTTGGCGTTCTCCTGCTGGTCAGCCTGGAGGGCAGCCAGGACCTGCTGGTGCTGGCCCTGAATGTCTCGCAGCTGTCCTTCCAGGTTCATGCAATCTCCCTGCAACTTCTTAGTATCGGCCCGCGAGTTTCTTAGCTTCTCTTCGAGAGCATGTGTATCTTGAGCCTCTTTTTCATATTGTTGTCGCAGCTGTGCCAGTCGTTGTTCAAAGTTTTGCTTCTGGGAGTTAGTCTGGCTCAGTTCGTGCTGAGTCGTGGCCCTCTTAGTTTGAACCTCTTGCGTCTGCTTGGTCAGAGAGCCGATCTGATTCGACAGATTGGCCAGCTCAGTAGTCTCATCAGAGATGTTCTTGTTTGCTTCAGGATCAGTATCACCAAGGAGGTCCTCTGAAGCAGTATGCGGTCGCGCAGCCTCAGCTCCAGGGTGACCAGCCAAGCCACGGCCAAAGGAGGAGGATGGCACGAATGGCCTAAACGCCACACCTACGGGGGATGACGGCTTGCCAGGGGAAGAAGCTGTGTGGAGCACGCTGATGCCACCGGCAAATGGATCAGCATTTGAGCCTCCTGTGGACATTGTGGTCTGCGCCGGGGCCGGGGGCGCAGGGCTAGGAGTAGAAGAGTCAAGGCCAAACAAGTCCTCGAGAGCAGACTTGGGCGCCGGCGGTGCAGAGGCAGCTACCGGGGGGAGCGGAGCGGTTTGTGTGAGAGCTGGTGCGGGATCAAAGGCCGATGAAACTGCAGTAGCAGGGCGGCTCTGAGTTCGCAGGTGCGGCGGCACCAGAGCTGTGGGCAGAGTGCTGGGCAAGGGAGTTGCCCGGTTACTGCGCTGCTGACGGATCAAATACATGGCAACGGCAAAGCCATCGCGAGTCAATCGTCCCTGAGAACCAAAGTCCGCTAGGTCCCAAATCTGGGCGAGCGTGTCTTCGGGGAGGTTTGACTGACTGAGGAAGGGCACAGCCTCCTCACCGGTGATGTAGCCCTTGTTCGTCTTGTCGAAATCGAGGTAAATCTGGTCAAATCTCGCCTTGTCGGCCGGAGTAATGGCCCATTCACCACCAGTAGGCGCAGGGGGTCCAGTAACCTGAGCAGCGACTATCGGTGGGCGATTGAGCGGGCTTCCTGTCCTCTGCTGCTGAGTCGAGCCACTCAGCTGCCGGGGGATAGCAGTAATACCGCCAGTGTTGCTTGGCGACTGTCTAGGAGCAGCCGCTGAGCTGCGCGTCGCCGCCTCATACAATCCAGCAGGTAGAACGTTGGGCAGTGCGCGGAGAGCGCCAGTCTTCATGGACGTAAGCAGGTGCATGGCGATGATGAATTCGGGCAGGGCGAGAGCACCCCGTTGTTCGGTGTCGGCCAATCCCCATATCCTGCCGAGAGTCTCGTTGGGCAAGCCGGACTTGTCGAAGATGGACCTGGCCTGATCGCCCGGCAGCATGTTCGCTTGCAGGTTCTGGCGCTCAAACAAGGCGGCATACTGTGCAACCTTGTCGGGAGTCAGGGGAGGAACACGAACGCCGCCAGAGACTTGGGGCTGAATGGGCGTCTGCGCCTGCGACGGAGAGGTGGCAGCAGCTGGCCAGATGCCTTCGAAGCGGGGGATGGGCCCTTGCTGGAGAGCCAGCTCGGGGGTTGGCTCTCGTCCGGCCTGAGCATGGCCGATGAGGCGAAGTACGATGCCGAAGCCAGCGGGAGTGAGGAAGCCGCGGTTCTCCTTGTCGGCAATCTGCCATATCTGCAGTCGTGATAAAAGCACAGCGGTTAGCTCGGGCAGGGAAAATGGGGGGCGTGGGGGTGACGAATCAACCCCCCTCTCGCAAGGCAGCGAGCGAGCGAGAGACAAAGAGAGGCTGCGAGAGAACGCAGAGGGGTGTTATAAAGGAGCGACAAACCTCTCCCAGTATGCGTGAATCTAGCCGCGTCTTCTCGAAAAACTTGACGGCTATCTCGCCGGTGACGACGCCCACGCCATCGGTATCGGCTTGGCGGAAGAGCTGGCCATAGATGCGCTTCTCTTCGGGTGAGAGATTGAGGTTCGGCGCGCCTAGAGAAGAGAGGGACAACCAGTCAGCCATGAAACAATGAACAAAGAACAAGCTCTGAGAAACATGAAAGCCATACTCGGATCAGCGGCCGCCGACATTGTCGCACGCAGGCACTAGGAAGAAGTTGTGTCGAACAGCTAGTTGGCGTCTTCGCTGGGTGGAGTGGTCGAGTCCCCTTTCAAAGGCGCAAAACAAACGGACGCCCGGGCTTAGGAAAAGCTTCCAAGAGGATGCGAAGCTGCAATGGCGTCAAGGCCAAAGATCAAAGGAGACAAGAAGCAGCAACAGATACTAGAAATTAAAAGAAAAAAGACAAAATGCAGCAGCAGCACCTTTGCGGCCCAAAAAGTCGAATAGCTAGCGATGGGGAGATTTTTCGGAACTGGGTATATTGGGTTGAAGTCGGGGTTGTTTTGGGTCGTCAGCCTGAGAGGTGGCTGGCGAGCTACAGCAGTTTGGCCTTAGCAGTGAAGCTGCCCGGAGCTCTGATTCGACCAAATTAGGCGGCGGGTTTAGCGTCACCGCGCTGCCACAATTTACCGGTGGCTGCGGAGTACCTTTGGGTACCATGGCGAGGGGTTGAGCGCTAGCTGATACGAGGCAGTACATGCATGGCATCAAATTGATGTCAATTAATTGAGGTAGGTGATCAATCAAGCAGGCATGGAGTCCCTGGGTCCAGGCAATTTAGGCATCGTCGGGGGCCGCTGGGGAGCGCTAACACGGGATGCTGCCCATCTCCAGCATCAATCAAACGTAAAATGAGCTGCGTTCCGGGTTCTGTTTCATCCCGTCATCGCCCTCCTATGTCGACATTTTGCTTTGTTTTTGTTCTGCATTACCCTTTTGCCTCAGCTGCATACAGACAGTACAGACAATGAATGCATCCAGATAAGTAGAGCAACACAGCACAAGCAAATAACAAATAGCAGCTCATCGCAACACACCCACAGGCCCGCCCAAAAGCTCAACGCTCTGCTTCCCCGCAAGACCAGACGCATGCTGCTGTCACCAACTGCGGCCTATTAGATGAGGGGGCAGCAGGGAGGCCCGGAATCTATGCCACGGGCAAGCAATCATTTCTCTCGTCCAAGCCATCCCAAGCAGCGTCTTGCAGTAGCCGCGAGTCCCGAACTGTTTCCCACTCCTCTCGTGACTTGCGCGTCGCCAATCGTCTCGCAGCAGCAGCCCGGCCATGCATCCTGGGCTGCTTGCTGTTATCACACTGGACCAGATATTCTGCTCTACTGTACGCTTCATCGATGCTAATGGGCAGCATTCGGTCCAGGCAGCGCCCCATATCCATCCAGCTTGCCTCAGCAGTGCAGTCAGTGTATGCAGGTATGCAGGCAGCTCGTCATCATGTACCGCTTTTATGCATCCAATGTGTGGGCACTCGTAAAGTGTATGAAATAATATGCAATTTTACTTTCTTGCCAATACAAAGCTATCTACAATGTACATCGTATTTATCTAATTTTACTCCATCAATCAATCGCTCCCTCCTTTACCTCATTGTAACCAGCTCCTCGGCGCTTGTGGGGTGGATGGCAACGCAGTTGTCAAAGTCAGCCTTGGTCGCTCCCATCTTGACGGCAACGCCAAAGCCCTGCAGGACCTCGCCGCTTCCCTGGCCCAGGATGTGCAGACCAACAACCTTCTCTTCGGGGCCTGCTGTGATGAGCTTGTAGCTGGTAGGGCCCTTCTGCTCGGGGTCCATGATGGCGTAGTAGGTGGCAGTGAATGAAGATTTGTAGATTTTGATGTTGTCCCTGCCGTACTTCTCGATGGCCTGCGGCTCTGTAAGACCAATGGCACCAACCTCGGGGTGCGCAAACACGACCGAGGGAATGTTTTCATAGCTGAGACTCAGATTTTTGAATTCAGGGGGTCCAAAAAGTCTGTGTGAGAGACGACGTCCGGCAGCGATGGCGACGGGAGTCAGCTCGACTTGGCCGGTGACATCGCCGAGAGCGTAGATGTTGTCGACGTTGGTGTTCTGGTAGTCGTCTACAACAATGTATCCCTTCTGGTTAAGCTTAACGCCGGCCTCTTCCAAGCCGATGCCGCTCGTCAAGGGGGTTCGGCCAATGGCCCAGATGAGGTGATCAACGTCGTGGAGGGTGGTCTCGTTGCCCTCTCCGTCGCGATATGTGACAGAGAGCTTGCCGTTGGCGGCCTTCTCGACCTTTGTGGCCTGAGACTGCTTGTGAAGGTTGACTCCCAGGCGCTCGTACTCCTTGGTGACAGTCTCCTGAATCATGGGATCGAAGTTGCGCAGGAAGGTGTTGTATCGGATGAAGAGATGGGTCTCTGTGCCAAGAGCATTGAACATGCCGGCAAACTCAACGGCGATGTAGCCGGCGCCAACAATGGCCACCTTGCCAGGCTTCTTGTCGATGTCGAAGAAGCCGTCGCTGTTGATGCCGAGCTCGGCTCCGGGGATTGCGGGGGGATCGGTGGGCTTGCCTCCGACGGCAACGAGGATCTTCTTGGCGTTAACCAGCACCTTGGAGCCATCATCCAGAGTGACCTCGGCCTGGTTCTTGGATAGCAGGCGTCCCCATCCGTGCAGGTAGTCCACCTTGTCGTTTCCAAGGTTGCGCGCGTAGATGTCGTTCAGCTTCTTGATGTGAGCATCACGCTTGGTCTTGAAGATGCCCCAGTCAAAGGGCGCGGTCTCCTGAACGGAGAAGCCGTAGGTTTTTGAGTCGTGGATGGCCTCGGCGAGGGCGGCGGCGTTGTATGTGATCTTTTTGGGAACGCATCTACGCGACACGAGGAGAGTGGTCAGCATGTTGTCATTTACAACAAGACACAAGTATATAAACTCACCCAACATTGACGCAAGTTCCTCCCAGGCGTGCATTCTCGACAATCATGGCCTTGACGCCATACTTGGAGGCGGCCATGCGGGCAGCACCCAGACCTCCGCTGCCGCCTCCAAGGACGAGGTAGTCGGTCTCTTTGGTGATGGGAGCCATTGCGCGAGCTGTGGTGGATAGATGGCGATGGAGTGAAGATAGTCGGTTCGAAGCGATCCCTCTGGAGCCTAGTGACTGAGCTCGGGAGAGTAAGGCGAAGGGTTGCATGGACAATTGGTGTGATTTACAGCTTTCCACACCCGCGCTTCTATATATACTCGTGTAGTTGTGAAGGAGGGGCAGTTTTTATTTTGCGTGCCAAAGTGTTGCTCCCAAAGCGGGGGATGGGGGGGAGGAAAATGACGTTTCCTAGCAGCTCTCAGATAGATTACTAGATTACTACAGTGCTTAGTAGGTGCTGTAGAGTGGTGTTAGTTCCAATGCGGCATTGCTTGCAACCACTAGGTGCAAATACTGCTGACTTCGGCTTCAAAACTACCTCTTTTAGTTTCAAGCCGAAGCCGTGATTACACGAGATTGTCGAGCTGCCACCCAGCCATGGCTTGTCGGAGCCACCGAGCCGGCCCTGATTTGTTGATGAGGAATCGCCCTGCCACTAGGGGTCCTATCCTCCCAGCATTTGTGCCTCGGGAGCCACAAAAGCTGCTGCGAGGCGCTGAATAATTGCCGCCCCTCTTAGCATTATAGTGATGCGGTTAATGTAGATTTGGAATTGAATTTTGGCGCAAGCGCAGCATCGTGTATCTCATTGATATCCCTCAACAGAGCTGTCGACATACATGCGGCGAGTTACGTCATTTGGTGTTGACATGTGCTGCAACCTTATATTATGAGCGTGCATGTCCAACCATGAAACACATCCTCCTTGCCAGTGACAACTAGATGTGATGCCAATAGACCAACGGAATAGAAACAGGATCATGCAACATGAACCAAATATTGTACTCACTGCGAACAGCAGCTCGGCTTGAACCCAGTCTCCCAAAATTCCACATCCTGATCCATTTGTCATCACCAGCCGGACCAGTTCGGAACAGCCAATACCCTCTCGGAATACCTCTTAGTAACCCAAGCAGCCGTGCAAATCGATCCTTCTGGGCGATAGCCTTTGCTCCTCTTTTTTTTCTAAGCGATGAGACTCTCTCATTCTCGCTCTCGCTTCTCGAAAAAAGGCCGCCATGGCCGCTCTCGTGCGGCAACCTGAGATGTAACCCCCACCACAGCTTTCGCCCGGCTGTCGCCCGAACAAGCGGTATTAAGTGCGGATTACTACACCAAGCCCGAAGATCCTCATAATAGCCTACTCGTATGTACATGTAAACCATGATGCGTCTGTTCAACCTTCGATAAGAATTCGGGATTGTCAGAATCAAAAAGTGCGAATCCGACGAAAATGACTTTCATTCATCTAAGCCATTTACTACCTTAGGTACCTTACCTTTAATTGTACATCCTTCAAAATTGAGCATTGATCAGGCTGTACCTGGCCTAATCGACAAGCTTTCGCCACGCAGGGCCTAAACGAAGCTTCCAATTCTAGGCTCACCACCATTAGAGCAATACCCATTTCAAGCATAGCTAATCTCGTTACCAGTTGCCATATGAATCAACTATAGAAAAAAAGAGAGGAGCAAAAGAACAAAAAGAAACGAGACGACACAAGCCTGATTCGAACAGGCGCTCCCGAAGGAACATGATTTCGAGTCATGCGCATTAGACCACTCTGCCATTGTGCCGAGATGCCTCGATGCAGAAATATTCTTCCTTAGGAGCCTTTGCAGAAACCGTGTGCATATTTAGCCTAGCAGGTATAGAAGTTGCTGCGTTTCAAGGGTTCCTTTTGTACTTCTCCCAATATTTTCAATGGCTAGAGTTGTCATGAGAATTAAACCACAGCCTGGTCTCTAAAGGTTTATATATTCGAAAGAACCGATAGAAATAATTGGCCATGTCTTTCGAGGGGGGTAGAAGGATAGCTACATTCACGAAGAGGACAATTATGTCAGAGATGAGAACGACTTACTTCGAAGTTCGTCTGGAAATTGTCAGAAGATACGAGCACAGCTGACTGGAAAGCGGCGAAGCACCTTCATTTTAATCGATCTAGCAATGCTCCCCTATGACGAAAGTTGACCATTGGAAGCCTATGACTGCCCAAAAGCAATTGCCTAGCTCTACAACTACAAATAACCTAAGTCTTTCTAAAGCTTATCAAGTATTAGTAGATCGACATGTGGGCTGGTAAATAGCTTTCATGCCCTCAGTCAGAGAAATTGTTGTGGTCCAGAATAGACAACTTCGTACAATATTTTAGAAACAAATTATTTCTCGCGTGTTGTAGCATATATTAATATGAAATACCGACAAATAGTCGATTATGGTTTCAATATGCCAACGAAACGATTTTGTCGAGACGGTGTTTCATGCTAATATTAGAAACACCCTTTCTCACAAAGATGATGAAGACATTCGTGGTCGCAATCATTATACAAGCACAAATCGTTACAAGTATATTGAGCAAAGAGTCATTACAGATATGAAAAAGATAATAATGTGCCAAACAAAACAAATTCCTTCGGTTTATTGTGTTCTTCCTATCCTTACGTATCACGCTAAATCCCCTATCATGCAGCCTTTGTTCATCCCAGAATACCTAGATAGGGGTTGATGCAGTATCCAAAGTCCAAAGATATAAATAAGGTACTGACTTATGATGAATCGAAAGCTATAGTAAAATAGAAGATTATCTGTATGACTTCCGAATGTTCTAGGAAGAATTCCTAGACATTTGGTTCCTTAGCCACCTCCTGCCTAGCTTGGTCGGCATGTATCCATGACACATACGGCGGCAGCATGTTCATACAGGCGTGAGTCATGACACCATCAATCGATCCTAGCAACTCACGATCAGGAGATTTAAGTTGATCTAGAGAGAATATAGGAGGGGAGAAACACAGGATCATATATGAAAGAGGATTCAGTCAGAGCCCACCGCCAATCCCCAGTAGGACCACAATAAAAGTATCTAGAAAGTACCAGAGACAACACTTGAAGAATATGGTATTCAGTTGATCAATTCTATAGTAGTATCCAGATTGGCCAGTACAGCCGAGGATATTTGCAGTCCTGCGGTCTCAGATTCTATCGTCTCGGCAGAATAACTCGGAATGCTTTGGGCAGCTATTTTTAAAAGGATTTCAGAGACGAGACTTCTCGATCCACGGCATGGCATAGTAATCGAGATTCTGAATGGACTTCGGGGTAGAGAAAACAAGATATTTGTGGTTAAACAGGGATGAAGCTTCGTATAGCTCTATCTTATGCCCGCCAACAACTTCCATCTGGCGGAGATGAGATATGTGGAACGACCCGCCAGTTCTATGGCAGTACCTGCGAGCCATTGGATTGCCATGAAACCTCATTTCCACGGTTTCGCCTTCACATCATCAACACTTATCTTGTTACAGATCCAACAGAGGCCTACAAAGCCTTCTGTTGGATTATGCACTCTAGAGAAGTTGTAAATGAAGAACTGGATGGCCACAAGGTTCCGGCTTGATGATATAGCAAAAATTTAAAATTTAATTCGCTTTGTAAAGAAAAAAAAAGGGGGGGAGAAAAGGAGAGCAATTGGCTGTGAGTCTTGACGGGGAGACAACACAGGTTTTCTTGCAACTTGTACAAGGCTTTTAGATCCAGATACTGGAAACCATTTCATACCAGCCCTTTAGAGGATGGAAATTATTGTACACCAACGCGTTTAGCGAGTGTGAAGGGATCTAAGTAGGGGAGTACTGGAGTATGGAGACAGGTGAATAGAGCAGTTTGCCGGAATCTTCAAACAAATTGAGAGAGAATACAGGCACTCAAGGCTCTCCAGGCAGCTTTCTTCAACGTGACAGAGTTTTTGGATATAGGTATATTGCTGTTAAAATGGCGTCTTAATTACTTTGTGCAATCTATTCACCATCTTACACCTCTGGGCTAAGCTACGAGAGAGTTGGGATGTTATATCTAGATGTGATGCTTTACAGTCTCAATGGGAAAGATATTGCCATCGATCAGAAGGAAATTATAGCACATTGCTTCGCCCATTGACTCGATCAAGAGTATTCTTGTCCAGAGAATGAGTATATAACATGTCGGTAACCATTAAACATCTCAATAGACCACGAAATGTCACAAGAAGCTTCGTTTTGGGAATCGTATTTTATCTAGCGACATGACGCCGACAATACTCAATTGGAACCCTCCCAGTCCAGCTTTCCAAATAATCCGCCGCTCTATACTATGTGTTCAGATCTGCCGGTCTCATAAGTAGAGTCAAAATGAAGTGTAAATTGCTATGTAGCCAAGGGGGAAATGCGATATCAGCTTTTCAACTAAGGAAATAGCCAATATCATAGACATACAAGTGAATGATATGATGAACTCGCATTTTCTATCGATATACTACGTTATTTATTAAATGATCCCAGGATATTGGGTAAATAATGCCCTCTAAATACATATACATGATATGGTACCCGTAAAATGACATGAGTATATATCTAATATCTGTTTTCTTCGGGTCCAAACTCCCCATTACTTCCTTTTTATCCACGATCCAGATTATAAAGCCTCTCTGTTGACAAGTGCAGTTGCTACACTTGATTACGGTTTGATGACATCGCCATTGCAGTAGATAAGCCGAGTATCATTACAAACACATTCAGGAAGATTTTTCGATGGAAGTCTCACACCTGGAAAGTAAATGGCAAAAGGGCACCACAGCTATAGCTACCTTTTCAACAGACTATGATCAGCAGTAGCTTAGTCGTAGACACCAACCAGATAGACAGACAGACATACAAAGAATCTCGTGCCCTGCCAACCACAGCAACCTGATCACCTGCGTTTAAACAGACAGAGTACAAGTCTGTAGACAAAACAGCCACCGGCCGTACTGACACTAGACGGCAAAGACGGCACCAAATATCAATGGCTCTCTATTCACCCCCAATTCCGATATCAGCCACCTGTCCTCCCCTCACGCTCCTCGCCACATCTCCAAGAGTTTTCCTAATTTAGGCCAGCCTATCTCTCATCAACGCACATGAATAGGGGCCGCTCCTACATCATACATGGAGTGGCCAAGACACACAGTATAGCACGACTCCTCATTGATATGTGACAGCAGCAGCTGAATGGGTGGCTCATTTCACCACAATTTCATGCAATCTGTTCAATTTACTTACCCCGCGTAGGATCATACTTGTATCGTAGAATACCACACACCTTACACCAAAGTACAAGTAAGCCGTATCTCACCTCGGTATGTATTGTGTGTGCATACATGTACAACTGATGTATGTATGCAGGTGTGTACGATTAGGCGCACAAAGGCATGCACGAGCAGAAGCGATTGCGTGCCAGTATGCATCACCTCCTCATCGCGTACTCGCGCAGGATTCGCTCACTTCCACCTGGGGCTACATGACAGGTCATCCACAGATGACACTCTCTACGAATTGAACCGAGTGCCCGCACGTCACAAAAACAGGCCATTTACAAAGTCGAGAGGCGTCAAGCATGCCCCATACTTGCTTCTCACGCGATACAGAACTCCCTGCTCTGTGCTCAATGACTTGTCTCGTCTCATCAAAGGTCCAGACGCGCCTTGCATACACAGTTGCACATTTTTACATGTACACAAACAATAGCCGCCGCCAAGGGAAGCAACATGGATGAAACTCGTAAACACGCCATCCCACCCTCTAGAGCAGACGAAAAAAGCCACCGTCGAGGGAGCAACAGAGCTGTCCAGTAGCTCTCTCCGGGATACAACTTGGCGTGCTTCCGAGACACGAAAAAGATTGAAAATAGCACAAAAGGAGAGGCCGGGCGCGTATCTGCAGGAATGGCCAACGGCCACCAGGGTTACACTACATTACATTACAGTACTCACACATATGTAGGTACTTTCAAAATGGTGTGCTTTCTGGTTGCGCGCAATGCTCGTGCTAGCAACAGCAAGGCTGAGCCGAGCTCCCTATTAGAGCCTCGGTGAGAATTAGCCCAAGCCATCATTTCAAGGCTTCTTTGTTTTGTGGCGTCAAAGCCCATGCAACAAGTAGTAAGCCAAGAATGGCGTTCGTGTTAGCTGCCACTGAGAACAATGGAAGAGGGAATGGAAATTGTCATGTAACCCTTGGTTTGAGACAAAGGACGGGCGTCGACGCTGACGGCGGAAATGTCAAGCTCGTTTCCAGAAACAGGGCGCCGCCGCCACAGAAGGCCCAGGCAAACAAGGTGAGGAAAAAATAGAACGGCTAAGGGGATAAGCGGGAGGGGAGAAAAAAACAGAAAGCAGAAAAGGCTGAAATCAGGTTACCCGATGGAGTGGTACCAGACGGGAAACCTGGACGTGTCCTGTTCTCTTGGGAACATTGAAACTGGGGGGGAGAAACCGAGGCCCGGCTTGTGCGCGCCCATCAAGGTGAGGGCGTGTGTGCATGCCGTCTGTAATTTTTTTTTTTTTTTTTTTTTTTTTTTTTTTTTGTCAAGTTTGCCTGGACTGTACTTTTGCTTGTGCGAGTCCATGCACAGGCGGGATGCATGCGGAAAAGAAAGAGATGACGGGGTGTGAGTCGGCCAACAGGCACTTTGTTGCATCAAATGACACGGGCCACGATGATGTTGGAGTCGATACATGACATGTAAGTATCATGCCGTGCCGTGTAAACAAGAATGTAAGATGAACCGCCTCATAAGAGCCAGAAGATTCGAGAGACGGCCCAGAAGCACAAAAAAGCACGGACACAAAAGGCACAAAAAACAAGAATAAGAACAAGAAAAAAAGAGGCAGCTCATAGTTAGGGCAAGAAAAAGGGCGGGATGGAGGGTACCGTGACAGGCGCTGGATGCCGGTCCAGAATAGCCTCATCGGCAAGCACCGTGTGATTGGATCCGTGGTCCCGTCCAACCAGCTGGGACACGCGTTCATTCGCCCAAGGGACGGACAGGAAGCCCGCAGGCCCTTGCGAACACGGGACAGAGATGGGGCCCGTGGTTGATGATGATGAGATGATGATATCGCCCGAGAGAAGACGAAGGGAGGAAGCAGATGGACGGCAAGGGGGGAAAAGAGGGTGTGAGCAGAGGCAGAGGCACAGCAAGAAGCACAGATCACTTACATCGGAGCAAGCCACGCTCGGGGCCAGAGCAAGCAAGAAGAATCCAATCACACGGCCAAACCGTCTCGTTCACGACAAGCCCATTCTCCCTCACGCCCCTCCTCTTTGTAAGGTACTCGTAAGTGTTGAATGACACCATGTTACCGGAACCACACAAAGAGGGCCTATGGAGGAGGAGCAGAGCAGAGTAGAGTAGCATTTTACTCACATTTCACCACTTACTCCAACGAAACAATTACTCCAACGGCCCGATGTGATCAAATGGCAAACGCGGCAGCGTAAGTTCTGACCACCACTTAGCTAATGTAACTACCTGCCTGCATCTACTTCTCCAAAAGAGAAACCAATAGGTGATGATCAGCCGGGCGGGCGCTGGATCCGCGGCCTTGCTTGCTGCTGTTGGAAACAAATCTCATCACCCGTCTAAATTTTTTTCTCTCAACGTTCTTGGCATAAGATTCCATCATTTAGCATGGAAAACCCGCCAGCCTGGACTAACGGAGAGAAAAAAAAATGAACTGTTATACGATGACATGAAACCAGTAGCTTGGTTCCTTCGCTCGCAAAGTACGTCCGGAACGGGCATGGAGCGGCGAAAATGGGCCATCAGCCTCAAACCTGCTCGTTTTGCTGGGCTTTTTTTTTTGAGGCTCCGTAATTCCAGTCTCTTTGTTATGTGTTTTGTGTCCGGAACAAGAATTGGCAGCCGCCATAGAAGAACACACAAAAAAAAAGTGATAGAATACAGACGCTAATGACAGACAAGAACGCCCACGTTTCTTGCTCTCTTTTACACGCCCCCTGTTCTTTGTTCTAAGCTAGTAGACTAGAATATGGCTTGTAGCGCGTAGTTGCGCAAAGAAGTGCTAGCAAAGCGGGAGAAATCATTGCCCGGACGAGCTTGAGATGCTGCAGTAGTCGGTAATAGTTCAGTTCAGTAGCAAAGTAGCAGTGCTAAGACGATGCTTATTTAGACGAATTTCATCACGTCCATGCTACATCAAAACGTACCTAAAGAGAGATAGCGACTCACTCGCCATAGCTCATACCACTACGCAATCTAACCTCGGCCTCGGCCATGATAGATAATTGAAACGGCCATCATGTCATGGTACGATAATTCACGATAACCAACAGCCGTCAACCGGACATAAACGTGCGGCTCCAAATCCCACAATCTTGCACCCCGTCCGTCCGTCTGAGCCAATCGCAGCCTATCCAACCATCACAAGCCTCCATAAACTCCATAGATACGGGTGTACATGTCAACTCCGCCAAGCACACAAACAACATCACCACACCCTGAAAAAAAATTAAAGAAAAAAAAGACAGCTGCCGCGCAAAAATGTCACTTTGCTAGTGCCGGCGCAAAACATCGTCACACGTGTCCCAAGACTTTTCCCAAGAGAACACCCTCCTTCCCCCGATGTGCGTCGGCATATCGAACAGCACCGTCCAGATAGGGCAACGAATCTCCTTTGCCCTTGGCTTCAGCCCATCTTTGTGCCCCATGTATATACTGCGTGGCCTAAGCCTTGGCTAGTAGGATATTTTGCTGAGACTTGGCCTTTCCATCCTTCGCGCCTCAGGGGTGCTATCAAGAAGGAAGCAGCCAAAACAGGATGGGGGGGGAGTGTGTCGTCGTCTCCGAAAAGAGAACGGTCCCCAAACAAGCCTCCTCGGGATTCAGCTTTCTCTTCTTTCGATTCCGTTTCTCAGAGCCTCGGCCTTGGCATCTAGTTCAGCTGTGTTCGAAAAGAAAAAGTATATCGTTCACTAGAATGGCAGCACGGGAGTGGTTTGGAGATAAAAGATGACCCAGCCCATCTTCGCATGGACCAATGAGTGCTCGACATCTACTCAGCCAAGTCAGCCAGGATAGATAGTCGACGAGCCACTTTCGATACTTTGAAAGTTTAGGCAGATCATCTCGCCGGCAGTGACTGACACTTTTTGGGGGGCTCCCTCACCAACCCCCATGCTGCTACTCCTCCCCCCAACGCCCATCGACAAGGCCATATGGTTTGCTGCATCGTAAAAAAGAAGGAAAAGAGGCGTGCCCTGTAGCGCGGGAGCCTTGAACTTAGTCGGCAGCCTAACGAGGATCCTTCTCACGATAGGATCAGTATGAAGTCCTAGCGGTCCTAGCAGCCTTGCAGCCTTGCACCGTAGTAGCAGATTTACAATAGATACAGCCCCAAGCAGAAGCTCAACACCCAAGTCCTGCAAGATGTCTACCTCTTGACAGGGGGAGTATCTCAGGTCGCTTCAGTTTGGCTGCGGCTGGCCTGCCGGCCACCCATGTTGAAAGTCCTCGACTGGGCAAGAAACCCTTGCCATTTCTCTATTTTGCTTCTCTGTTTGTCGTCGTCTTGAAGAGCCTTGTCAGACACGTCCACGCCATCCATGCAGCTTCAGGAAACGGCCAGCACTCCACCAGATACCGTCCAGTACGGCAATGTGGGAGAAATGCTTGCCATGTCGGGCTGCCCTGTCCACCCCTGGTAGCCTAGCCGTGCTGGCACCTTGGCGACTTACAAGGCAAGGCACGGAGCATCACTCCGTATCCGGCGTCGAGTGCGAAAGGGGCCAATCTGTGAGCTTCGCCTGGAGTTGTCGTTGCTGCGCGCTGATTGGCCAGGATACGCCAATCTGAAGGCCCTTGGGATGAAGACCCTTGTTCAGGCCCTCGACATTTCGTAGATCGATGTATTCTCCGGGGGCCATGGCCAAAGAGGTTCAAGTACGAAAAGCACGGACTGACGGCAGACGGGGCATCAATTACCTCTACGGGCTGCGCTGCTTCTTCGACTTTCGTGCTTACACCAGCGACGCCAAATCCATATGGGGGTTCTGCGAGATAACAGCGAGTCAAACACCGAAATTTGGCAAGTGGTATTATTTAGCCGTTCAAGAGCAGCATCGGGGTTTGGACTAGCAGTAAACCACACAGCTTGAGTGTATTTACACAATCCTCCTTCCCCCCATACTTCATACATGGGGGGGCCGGTCGGCTCGCTTCGCCGTCTCGTAGCACGATTCTTGCTCTTGGCATGTCAGGCAAGCCTTTGTGCGACGTGACAGGTTTTGCAACACGATATGATAGCGCTAGCAGAGATGCAAGAAATGGGCTCGATTAATCTTAAACTTCCAACGCAAAGAAAATAAAAGGCAGGCAAAGAGGAAAAAGCCACCTTTCTGCTCGGCCAGCCAATGACGGCACTTGTCGACAAACGCCTGCTCGCGAGAGGGGAGGCAATTTCATGCAACCACACAGAAAGCAATTTATTAGATTTGGAGGAGGGTTGGAGTGGTGAAAATGGGGTGGGCAACTAATACTGCGACCTACCTGTGCTGCTACCCTCCACGAGCATGGCTGTTTGCAACGATATGCAGGTCGTAACCGAGGACTATTAGACGCGGCCTTCTGCGAGTTCAATATAACGGCAACATATCGAGTTGGCTGCTAACCTGGACTTACACACAGAGGGTGAGAACCAGACGATTTATCATCCGGTGGGTCGGTTGGCATTGCGGGAGGCACGGCACGAAGCCCGTTAGCAGTAGACCCTGAGTCCACCTTTTGCCCTCTCCATACAGTACTGATTCAAAGCAGCAAAGAGAGTAGAGTCCTTGGTCAAACGCGTCCAAGAACCTGCTGTGCCGCGACGGCAAATTGTGGCGCTGGCAACAACTGACTTCTCACGGCCCCTTCGTCGTCCTCCCCAAATGGGCATCCCGTCCTTCATCAGGGATGCCTCTGACGCAGTGGCTAGCCCGACCGACACCTTGACAAAAGCGTTTCGACGTGCTGAAGCGCAAGTCAATGACGCTAGACAAGTCTCTTCCTCTTCATCCCAAGGGCATCTCCTTCATGTCTGTAGTTCCCATTCGTTCGGTCGGGCATTGACCCGGGCTATCGGCGTCCACTAGTCTCAATGTTGTCTTAACCATGTGTCTGTCTGCTGGCAAGAAAAAGTATGCCCAAACCACCGCAAGGGGAACTGCCCAAGCGGTAAAAGCATTATGGGGACTCTGATCCAGCAAACCGGTGAGCAGAATACGGGGTGCAGCAGCGGCATCCACAGTAAGAAGAACATGCTGCTTACATTCCCAGTAGCCGCAGCGAACTATTGCTTCCAGCCGGGGCTGATGGAAGATGGGAATAGCGAAAAAGAACATGCTCACAGAATCCGCATCCCACGAGGAGCAGCGCCACGCACACCCCTCTAAGGCACGGAGATGTGCACAATTGTGAAGAAGGCCGTGAGAGAGACGGAGGGTGGTTCCAGATGCTGCAGCACAGCCAATAACTCTTTGCTCCTCACGGCGAAGGCGAGAACCGCAAGAAGGCTGGCGCCAGAGGAATGCGGGGAAATATTGTGATCTATCACAATCCCAGCATGTGGTTTGAACGAACCCCCGAAGTCCTAGACAAAATGCGTCAGAGGAGACGCAGAAGGAGGGAAAAAAAGCTGAGCCAAACATGAGGGAGACCCCGACCCGAGTTCTAGGCTTTTGGATCCAGGCCATGGCCGGCGACCGTCTAACACCTGTCTTGTCTCTGATCCTGATCAAACCCAAGGGAGGGAAACGGCTTAGACCAGCTCATCTTGTATACGAGAAGCAGCCAAGCGCCGCCGTTGCCTTGGCAGAACAAGCAGTCGCGCTATTCGGGGCACAAGCAGAAGAAGCGCTCTCTTGGGCGAGAGGCGAGACATGGGAGAGGGAGGACGACTCCCCAATATTGGACAGGCCCTGTCCCCTCTCTCCGTCTCTCTCCCTCCTTGTCGGGTTCGTGCCCTCTCTCTCCCTTGCATCTCGACTGCCGGAGGACAGGCATGGAGACGACGGAGCAGTGTACGAATCTGCACTCTTTGTGCGCCGTTGTGCTAGTACAAACCCGTCCGAAAAAGCTGTCACATATCATCAACCCCAAGACCACACTTCTCGCTCTGAGAATATCCACCAGAGCAGTCCCGGCCCGCCCGCTGCGCCGTCGCAACTCGGCCATGATGCCATGGGCGGGTTCACCTTCTGCACGTGGCTTCGCTCCTGTTCAAAGGGAGGTGCTGCAGCTCTCATGCAGAGAGAATGGATAACTCGGTTTCTTCTGGTTCGCGCAAGGGGGAGGACCTTTCCCCTTCCGGGCGTCCCGCAAACCTGACAGGTCCAGTGCGTCTATCAATCACGATGCAACATCCTATCCCTTCTCCCCACTCTCCTCTTCTTCTTTTTCTATCGGTAAAGAGAAAAACCGGGACCCCCCAGTGACAAAAAGCGGCTCTCGTGGGTATCGCTGGCTCTCTGGTACGCAAGCTCGTCTGGATCCAGCGAAACTGCTGTCGTCCCAGCTAATACGAGTAGGGGGGAAAGCCAGAGAGCGCGCAAAGATCAACCACATGGCAATCTCGCCTTTGTGTGTGCGGCTAGCCAATGAGGCCCCGTCGACCAAGGAGGTCACTGGAAGCGGTCATGCAAGGCACGCAAACCATCATTGTCCAACGAGAAACAGTAAACCCCCCCAAAATTTGGGACTTGGACCAACGAGCTCTCGTAGACGCCCTCCCACTCGTCCATCCAGTCTTTGATGCCCATAGTTAGTGGCAGTTTTGAACGAGACGTGATTCCATTGCATGACGATGCTTGATTCAAATTGATAAGCTAGCATCCACAGCACTGCGACCTGAGTTATTATTTTGCCCGAGCAAGTCGTTCCATCGTGAAAACGGTGCCGGCAATAAGCAAGACCTTGTTTCGGACTCTTTCCCATTCCAGTTTTCTTGCTAGCGGTAGGCGTTTAACGTGGATCATCTGTAGCTATTGAAGGGAAATGATATAATTAGTACTCGTACGAGCGCTCCGTACTACCAAGTACCTGACTCTCCGTAGGCCTTGCTCTTTGCTGTGAGCCGAGAATAGCAGCAATCTCAGACCCTCATCTTTTGTGAATCAGAGGGTCCGGCAAAAGCGCATAGCTGTAAGCACCAGCGATCCGTTGCGCGCGCTGGCGCCCGGCACCCGAAATTTGAAATTTGAAGCATAGCAAAGAATAGCACGGCTACTAGCGGAGGCGCTGCCGTGTTCATGACGGCACTAAGATGGGCCTTTGATACGTGCTCCGTTTCCATGGTCGATCGTCGCGCAGCCTGGACGATGAAGGTGAACATGGTTCAGTGCCGAAAATCGCCCTGGCATCGAAAAGAAAAAAACCACCCCCTCTCTCTAGGCTATTATACAATCGATGTCGTCACTTCCAAGACATCGGCCTCAGCTGTACCGCAGCCCGAGCTTTCGCAAGTGCAAATAGCTCCCAAAGGCTACGCTGTTTATGAGCAGACTATTACTCAGTAGCTTGGACTGCCAGTGAACGCTCTCATGATTGAACCCGAGATTTCCCTTGCGGAGAAGATAGGATAGAACCTCGTTTGCCAAAAACGTGCGACAGGCAAAGCGAATCGGATGATTCTCGCCAACCTGTTGCAAGCATTGCTCCATACTTTTTCTTTGACGTGCAATTCCCGCGACGGACGGTACTCGTAGATTTGACTCAGGGGTCCCATCGTTTGCCCTCAAAGGTGAGCCCACCAGTCCAAGCGCAGACGAGCGTTCAAAACGGAAACGCGGTGGATCCTTTCATATCTGGTGGATCTGCTGGTCCAGCAAAGGGGGTGTGTGAAGTTTGTGTTGAGTCTTTCGCAGGCCATCCAGGTGGGAGGAAACTAGAGCCCGTCGCAGTTAGTCTCGAGCCCTTACTCAAAAGAGCTCAAGCGGGAAGAAAGCAAAAAGAGAGAGAGACTTGACGAGGGTGTCGGGAGGGCTGGCAGGGCTTGGTCGTCGATCTCATTTGGTCCTAGTTCGGGGGTCCTGACTCGGAATAGCTGCATGAAACAAAGAGGCGAGAGGGCGCCTTCTTTGGGGGGAATGGCATCCAATCTTTTAGGCGCCTCAAAGACGCCAATAGGACACCCTCAAACAACTGAAAGGGAATGGCGGAGGCAATGAGCCCCAAGCTTCATTTGACATATGTTGGGGGAAACGGTGGCGGTGGTGCCAGCAGCAGCGAAATGGCTGATGATAGTGGCAAAAGCCATGCAGCCTCATATTACTGTAGTGTACAGAGCAGAGGCGCCTCTGAAAGTGCAAAGTAGTATTGATCATGCGAGGACCATCAGCGCGCCGCAACAGCCAGCCAATGGATCATTTGATCGGGAGATTTGGTTCTGATGGTGGGGGGACCAATAGCAAGACTCGTCCTGCACACATTTGGCCTTGTACATTTGCCAAGGTATGGGTTCGTTTACAAGCTGGCCAGTGCAGCTCTGATTTGGTTTGCTTTTTGCTCGAGTCATTCCAGGCCAATGCAAGGCACCGTCTAGTGCTTGTGCTCATCTCCATGCGTGGGAGTCATAGGGAAAGCAAACCACGATTCAACCAGATTAGCTGTTACGGCGTAGTCTCCGCAAATTACTCCATAATAGCTCATACATACGACACCATTCCCCCAACTGCTAGCCCAGTCAGTCATAGATAGCAGGAGGGGAGCTATTATAGGACGACTTTGTCTTGTGTGCTTGCTCGTTCGTATCTCGTACCGTATTGCGCAAACCATGGCTGAACTTGACGATCACCCGCCCATCTTGGGCTAAGAAACGGCGCCGTCCACATTCTCACTAGAGATGTGCTCAAGATAGCCTCAAGAGCCATGGCCCGTCGCGCCATGCCAGTCGCGGTCTTAGTCGTGTCCCAGCCCGGCAAGGCGTAGCAACACTCCCTCCTCCACTTCTCAGAAGAGCTGAACTCTGAGCGGAGCCTAGTTTCCATAACGGTTCGACCCAGATCCGAATAAGGGAGATTCGAAGTCGCTATTTGGGCCACCCACGTGCCCTTTCTTCTTTTTCTCCCGATGCCCTGGTCTTCTTGTTGAATCGCCCAGCTTGGGTGAGACGATGGGGCGTCTTTCACCACAGTCCAAAGGGGGGCACGAGCTCAACCTGAGTCAAGCATCGACCATGTTAGCGGTAGCAAGTTTGCTGAAGCGCGGCGGGAGTGGCGACCAAGGCGTCTTAGCCAATGCTTGGTATTGATACGCGCACGAAGTTGCTTTGTCCCGTCCTTGTATCCCCCTTTCCAGTCTTCTCATGTTTCTACCACTGGAATAGATTAAGTTTAGGCTTGAGCACGGGATATGATGGGCTTGACGCCGCGGCCCCCCTAGCGCACGCCTTGTGCATATCTCATCCCATCTTCATCTGGCAGACATTGCGAATACAGCTGCTTATTCGCCACGGCTATCGCTGATTGCTGATTACTCGTACCCAGCGCAATGGTGAGCAGGAAAAAAAAGTTTCCGCCCGTCAGTGACCCAAACCCGGGAGCTTCAGTCGGCCACTACGGCAAGGCGCATTGGCCGTGACCACAGCGCTGGGATACCGACGGAGTGGGAAAGACGAAATAGAGAAGCAGAAACATGCCATCGCCCGTGCCCAGGATGACGTGCTTTCCGGTGGATAAGCAAATAAGGTACATCCAACGCTGGCACCACTTTTCTCTGCCGGTGTGTGGTGATACACGGCGAGTAGCAGGTAGGCTCCGTAATGGCTGGTATGGAGAAAAGGGCTGTTAGTGCTATAACTGATCGTTTTTTGTTCCCTTTCTTTGCTCACGGCAGTGGGTGAATCTGACATGACAGGCCAAGCTTGATCAACCAGGGCTGAAACGGATTTGGCGCCCGTTTTTCTCGACTGCCCCTGGCAATTAGGGCTGTGGTTTGGACTAGGCGCGCTGGGTAGTATTTGAAATTCCTTTGATTGCAAGAGTCAGAGCGAGCCGTGAGCCGATTGCAAGTTGGTAATCGTCGTCAAAGTGTCTGGTAGCAAAGCACCCCGTAGTTGGAGTGAAGATTCGACATTGGATGTTTTGCACTTTTTGAAAAAAGACCTCGCCATCCTGCTCGTAATCTGATCTGATCAACGCGTTTAAGCACATGGCACGTGGGCAGTTGCTCTGCTGCTTTTCTGCGCAATGGCTCTCCGCATCATCCGATCTCATCTTCCAGTATGGGGTACCGGCGATGCCAGGCTGTGCACATCGTTGGGCCATGCCAATGTCCGTGGACCCCGTAATGCCTCCTGTCGATGAATAATAATAGGCCCTGCTCATATTACTGTACGTATCCTGCTCAAGGCCCTCACTCCCGCCAATGTCTGTTGCGCCCGCCAGTTGGGGAACACACATCCGAGTCGGCACGTTCCAGAGGCCGAGCCCGGTTGGTAGCGTGCGGTTTGACGCACACGACACCAACAGGGACGACTGAACGACCCATGCGATGCCGTATCGGCCTTGCTAGTGGGATGCTGTCATGTAAGACCCCAAACTGCGTCTGGACTAGTCGTGATGTGAGGCGGTTTGGAGGGCTGTTGTCTGCACTGCTTGCAGGCGGCTTGTGAAATTTGGGGAAATGCATCATGGATGCCTCGGAATGCCCTCCATTATATCCCTAGTTGCCTAGGGCCTGGGATCCTTCAATTGGAAAGGCGTGCCCAGAGGGCTTTGAGCTCAGCTCAAGACCATGTTTTCCTTCCCAGTGTGGTGTTACACAGATGCCTTGTTTTCATTTCCTGCTTGGATTGGCCAATCCACTCAACCGTCTATTACGAAATACAGGGTAACTCAGCAGAGGAAGTATAGCGGCGAGGCTGCATCACCAGTCCTTTTCGTTGCGCAACAACGCTTGGAGAAAAGTCCCTTCATTGGCGATATCTTTCCTATTCCGGGGTCAAGCGCCTGCCTACTGCAGGTGATGATGCGTAGTTTGCTTCAAGGAACTGTGTGTGCAGTATATTTCGACGAGGGGTCCAAAAGTGATATCATCTGCAGCGTGCATTACATGTTGCAGTGTATGTCGATTATCGCGGGGTTGGAATGGATGGACGTCTCCAAGTTTACTGTAGACATTCCCCTGCAATGGCCGCCTCTGCTCTCCTCATTTCTGACAACGGTGGTGCTCGCTTCTGCACGGTCGCTGAAAGAACCCTTTATTTGGATCAATTCCTTCGACAGGGCGAAATACAGATATTACTGTAGGGCGCACGCATTTTACGCGCCAGGGATACCCTCTTACCGCTTATATCGTTTTCACTCCCACTCTCTTCACTGTATAAGTATTTTGGTCTTCAATGTCCATGGCAGCCTGATGAAACCTCGCCGGGTGATGATGTTGGTGGCTGCCTCGCAACACGAAGCTATCGTGAGTTCCAAGGCAACGACGTCAACCGATGTCCTTTAACGTAATACCCTGCCGATCGCTGTGCTCGTATACTTCAGGGTTGCCGCCACGAATGAAGCAGGTTGGCTGCTAGGCTCAAAGCGAGCCCGTGCATGACGACGACCGCCTCGCCTTCAGAGCAGCACTTGCACTGCAGTCCTGCAACTCGAAATAAACCTGGTTCTAGGCCAGCTTTCGCGCGGCCCCCCGGAATGCGCCTGCGTCGCTGCAAGTTCTCTGCATCCTCGATGGGACCCCCCCATCAATCCTTCGAGCCAATGCCAAGAGGCTACTCCGTGTTTCCCCAAGAAATAAAAATCCCCTAATTGCAAAGACGTATCGCGGCCAAGTCCCCCCCCGTAGGGATCTATCTCTCCACAGCCGGGGAACCTGCCATTGCATGCCCAAATGAAACGCACGCATTCGCTTGAGGGGTACCTTACTTGTATGTACGTCGAGCAAGCGAGGGTTGGCCGCTGGCTGCGGCCTTTGATCCACTACCACGTAAATTAATTTCAAAGGGGTTAATTCGGTTGTCAGATACAGTGGCACTGAGCAGAGCGAAGAACCTTGTCTGATACGGACGGTCAAAGAACAGCGCGATGCTGGTGGTGCCACTACGGAGTACTACTCAAAATGCTGATACTGGCATGGACCCTGGTGATCCGGAGATCCCCCAGACAAATCTCGTTGACATGACTGTAAATGGCCTGGCTGGATGTTTAGCAGTACATATCTATGGCGAACAGGTTTGATTCAATAATGCACGGCAAGATGAGGTAGCAGTCCATGGTCCCCACTGCAACCAGCCGCACCACCGCAGGCTTTGCCATGAGTGGGCTTGGTAGAGTAGCAGTGCATACTACAGTAGGTATGCTACTTTGTAAGGAGCGCAAACTTGGACTAGTCGTAGTTGGAGCTGCACAAGTGTGTCTTGGCCAAAAGGCAGGTTTCCTGGCCATGGCCGGATAGTCAGTCGTCCTGTCAGGTGATGGAGGAGGGAGGCAAGGAAGAAAGAAAGGGATGGGACCCTCAAAACGACATCACCCCAAATCCCCAACCAAGCCAAGCCTGTACTCGTAATGGAGAGGCAAAGGATGACGGGCCACCAGCACGGAATCTGCCTGGATGGACGACTTGGTGGTGGTGATGGTAGGCGTGGTGTTGGCTGCTAGTGGCTAATGACGGTCCCTGTCGAACTGGCTGCCGTCGCCATGCACCAATCCGGTGCGACGTCCAAGCCTCCAGAAGCAGGTGAAATCGCAAAGGGCATAGTCGAGCTTCTAGCGGCCTCCACACCATCCCTTGATAGCAGCACATGGCCATACAGTCGTAGTGTGGACGACGAGCTTGTGTGTATGTGGTCTAAGCGATGCTCAACTCGAACCAACTGCATCACGGCTGGGAGACTTTGGCGTCGTCTCGCTAGCGGATGGTCGACTCGCCCTATCGAGGCAGATCTGAGAGGGTGATCACCGTCCTTCCGCCTCGTCATGGCCAATGGGCGTCATGATCCAGGTGCGCCTCCCGCAGATGTGCAAGTCGGCACGGTTGGCGTTGGATGGGTATCGCACCAGTTCTGCAACAACAAGGGGGACAAGGTTGATCGTGTCGCTATTCCCAAGTCCTACTCTGCCGCTGCCGTGGCCACACTGGAGATGAGGGTTTTTTCTCGTCACTCTTTTTCTCTTATCCTTCCCTCCGGCTGTTGCAACGATACGAAAAGAATAAGAAAAAAAAACTCTTCTCCAGAGGGTGCCATCTAGGCATCCGCGTGAGCCGTTAAAACGGCCATGTCCGAGGAATGAAGGGCAACGGCAGCTGGTTCCATAGCACGGCGCACCATGGCTAGTGAATACCACCTCCAGCTCAGCCGTTTGGTCGCTGGTAATATCCGAGAGCACCACCCCCAGACGATGCCTGTTTAAGCGCTGTGGTAATACAGAGATGCCGTGCGACGATCTGAGAGCTGGTATCTGCAGGATTATGCTGTGGCTGTTTTGGACTTCATTTCGGTGGATGATGCTGGCGCCGTGCTATTTTGCACCATCTTTGGCACCATGCCGCAAACTGTCGCCCATGCAGCTTGTTGCAGCTCGCAAAGGACATGGAGCAAGCGCCAATGGATTTGGAGCTGCCAGCGAAACACCATGATGGCCATGCTAAGGAGACACTATCATTTCTCGGCTGGCGTCCTAGACTAACTGTTCCGCAGCGCATGGGGGTCATGACATGGGCGAATACGGCACTGCGCAGTAGTGTTCGTAGTCGTAGTCGTAGTATAGATTAACATCACATCAGGCATTGTCTTAGTGTATTGTAGGATACCGCGTGCAATCACCCGGATGGTGTCAGCTATTGCATCTTTGCGAGCCAAGAGAAGCGCGGGACGAGTCCACATGACGGCAGTTTGGTGCTCCCAGGGGAGAGGCAATACGACTCGAGGTGGAGCGGCATTTTGATCAACTACCGGTACTGCCTCTAGGGGAATGTCTGCGTGCGTAGTTGCGTATCATGGCTATCAAAGAGCATCATTTCTGGAGGAGCTTGTCAACGGCAAAGGGGGGATGATCATGGACAAGAACGCGGGCTGCTAGCCAAAGACAGACTAGCCTGACACTAGTCCCGTCACGGCATTCCCCACTTGCCTCACTCCAAAACTTGAGCGTTTTCCTGCCTAAGGCACCAATCTCAAGGATCTTGCAGTCCTCATTTCCCTTTCGCTCCAGGGCATCCGTAGAACATTCCAGGGGTCGAGAGAAGATCGCTTGGGCAGTTCTCCATGCTCCATAGCGGACAACGGGCTGGGCTGATATCACAGGTGGGAAAGGGGAATTGGATTGGGTAGAAAGAAAAAAAGGGAGGGGGTCTCGGAAGATGGTCCGCAGGAAGGGCTCTGGAAGCATTGGCTGGGTGTTTGCCATGTGTCCCAAGCCAATTGATGAAGAAAATCTGCAACTGGATCTTTGACTTTCCACGGGCTTCCTTGAATTGGCCAATCCGTGAATAGGTATCAAGAAAAATGAAAATAAAAATAAAAAACAGAAAATTCAACATGCATATGCCTGTCTCCGTATCAGAGCGAAGACGTTCCAGGGTGCATTAGCACTGTTGCACAACCGCTGTGGCATGAAATGCAGGATGACACGCGATTGAGTTCGTTGACGACTCAGGCTGTGTCGCACAGCGTCTGCAACCCCCTCTGTTTCCAATGCTGGGTGCAATTTACAGCGGACTACAGAAGGGGCCAGCGGTTGCACAGAAGGAGGGGAGGCAGTCCCATGGGCTCATTGGCGGCTACAATCACGACACCTCAGTGCTTGGTCTCAATTATGCAGAGCACTTACTCGCATCGCAGCAATGAATTGATTGAATTGAGCACATCACGGCTTTGATGTCATGTTGCCTCGTCGTAAAAACCGCGTACAGTACATCAATGCTCTGCACACAGCTTGGTCCTTGTGACACAAGACAACCATCTCCGTCACCATTGCCGGGCTTCAATGCAACACGATAATCAAAAAAATTTTCCCCTCCAGCTGCTCCCATCTCGAACTCCATGCCTGCCCGAGGGGCGAAAAACAGCCCACCAACTTGGCGTCACCTTTGATGCTGGATTGCCAATCTGCCCACAAGCGACCGCCCCGAGCCCGGCCGGCGCTCTTGAGTCACCCGCGACAGAAGAGCACGGGCGTGGCATCATGGCTCCAGCAAAAGTCGAATGTTCAGAGGCTAGCGAGAGCGAAAGAGAGAAAATGGGGAACAAAACTACGACTTCTGGGGCTCTCCCGCAACCCGCCAACCCGCCCTAATGGAACGCCTGGCGCAATGTTCGTCTGCCGCTACGGCTGTCGCCAGACTGGAGAGCGCCAGACATGATTTGATTTTTGTTTAGAGCTGGGCTGATGGGCGACGCAGCGACGCCATCGCTACGCCGCCGTCAACGGACCTCCCCGCGCCGGTCGCTGCGAAACTCTGCGTGGTGTGCTTTGAGCAGTGAGGCAGCATACATAAAAATTTTCATGGGCAAACACAAAGGTGTGCAGGACAAGCCACACCCAGGCTGTGCGAAGAAAAAATTGCACGAAAAATTGCTTGCAAGAGAGCCTTGAAGCGTAGAGCAGCAGAAATCAGCCACCCAGGCGTTGCCTCGCCTGCACACCCCCATGAAGCATAATATTGGCTGGCATCACGTCTTTGACGTTCATTTCACATCGAACGGCGCTATCTGGCCATCTTGCTGCAGGGCATGACCCCAAGCAACGCCAGAGCCACACGCCCCCCCCGTGGTGAAGCTGGACTGTCTTCGCATCCTCACGCCCCCCTTTCAATCTCAACCTTGGTGGCCCACCCCCCTTGTACTGAAGCAGCCCGTTTCCAGTCTGGATGCGACACTGCAGGCTCCTGAGTCCTGTCCTGAGCACCAGATGCACAAGCAAGACTCTGCCCATGCGTGGGCTCATGGCGACGGTACATCCAATGTGCGTACGTACGAGGCCCCCTCCCTCCCTCTCTCCGCAGCAGCCAGGCAGGTACCGTACAGCGTCTGTATGTACAGCGCCCATGCAGCGCTAGCCGTGCCAAACGGTGGTCATCCCTCGCCGTCCTCAGTTTTGCAGCGGCTGTGCTCAGGCTCAGGCTCAGGCTCAGGGGGTGTGCGCGCACCATGCCATACCTGCACCGTAAGTACCGTCCAGACCAGAACCGTTAGCGTTAGTGCACCTCACCTCTTACACAATTTTTTTCACATCATATCATGGCCCTCCTCACACAAATTCTCGGGTGGGGCCTCGACTGACGCTGGGGTAGCACTAGCACTTCTCCACCCAAGCCAAGGTACCTCCATCCTCGTACTTCCGTCCTGCCCACTGCTGCTGCAGACCCACCGGTACCTCGTCGCAGGTACTCGACCCTCCCCACTTCCCTCCATTGCACCACACCACACCATGTCCACACCACTCACACTTTCAGTCGCACTCCAGCATCCCAGAAGAGTACATATGCATCCCGTTGCCCTCGCTTCATCTCTCCACTGCCTCTCGTCAACCTCACCAACTTTCTCCTTCTACCACTTTGCTCTCCTTTCAAGGCATCGCGAAGACTCTTGTCAACTCTTTTTATAATAACTCTGACTCTTCGTCCACTCTCTGCTTCTGAACCACTTCGACTCATACTACTTGCACTTGCACACTCGGGACCCTTCCCCCGCCTACTCTTCTACACACAACCAACCACCAACGCAATGGCTCTCGACATGTGGACTCACGAGTTCTGCCTTACCTGCGACCGACAGGTCCAGGTCGACGGCGACGCCTACTGCTCTGAAGCATGCAGAATGTCCGACTTCGAAAAGACTCCCTCCACTCCCAGTTCTCAAGCCAGCTCGCCCGGCTTCTCTCCCGTCTCCTACGCCAGATCAGGCAGCCTCTCAAGCCGACCTGCTCCCACCAAGTTCTTCCTGTCTCCCGCCTACGACTTCAACCAGGCCCAGCCCTACGGCTCAACTCCTCGGTCATCATCGTCGTTTGGCAGCTACATGTCGGACATGTCACCTCTCTCCTCCAACCGGGGCCTCACCCCCTCGAGCTCACACAGCAGCCTCTGCTCCATGCAGAGCGTATCCTCTACCGCCGAGGCGAGCCAGCTGTCAGACAAGGCACGGATGGAACTGCGAGCATACGCTGTTTCATTCGAGCAGGTCAGACTGCAGCGCCGGCGATCATACTAAATAACCAACATCATCCTCACACGAACTCACACACATACATACCACACTCTACCATCTACCATCACGCAACTCAATCATACGCAACACAATATGAAACGATACGAAACCATCCTACCATTACTTGCTATACTGTTCTTGTTCTTTTAAAACAAGCCCATTTTCTTTTACCTCATTTTTTATTTCCCTTGAGTTGTATCAAGACGGACGTTACACGGAGCACCGTATACCCATAAAAGCACCTTTTTTGCCTCTTTGAAATTTTTTAATCGAGCGCACTGTCTTCTCTACACCCACCTCTTTATATTGTTTCTTTTGTCACGGAGTTTTATCACGGAATGATTTGGATTTGACGGGACCCCGTCGAGGGCGTCTGTATACCACAACACAACACACAAAGATTGGGCGGAGACTTGATATCAAACCACTGTTTATTATTAGCATGGCACAAGGGAAACAAACACATTTGGGTGCTGGCGGGCAACACATTATGATATTTGGGACATGATCAGCGGCGCAGACCACAAGATTTTGGGATCAGAGCAAGAATGATGGCGCAGATAAAGGCAGTCGGCGTGCTGCAAAGCCGCCCGGTCTATGGAAATTTACTGTTTGGACACAAAAGACCAAGGGAAGTGGGGAAGGGGAGAAGCAAAAAATAACGGATGGATTTCTGGAAATTGGATAGCTCAAGCTGAAGATGCTCTGCATCGTCAATGAATAGAACAACCTGTCTAAGACTTGGTCAAAACAACTTCTGCATTCCCTGTCTTCGTTTCTGTGATGCGATTTGATGCTTGTGATTGGGCGGGCCGCCAAAAGGTGTTGCTCCAGTGGCGATAATCGATGCCGGTGCCGACTTGTGGTGATGACTGTCAGACTGCGACATCGGATCGACCTTGTACGTAAACTCTGTTTCTATGCGAGAGGCACTAGCAAGCTATCGTGATGCCCAATCTGCCACAGGGCATAATTAGACGGCCCAACGAACCGCTGTTTTACTTAGTGGATGCTCTACTGCTGTGATCTAATGCTGCTGCTATCTTGTTTTGTGTCTGTTACTCTGCATACTGCTACTAGCCTGTGTGTATGGAGATACTACAGTACATGATGGCCTACTAGTGAATACTCGTAATGCAAGGTACTCGGTGCAAAGTGGAAACGCGCAGCCTCTTTTTCGATTGCGTCCCAAATGCGCGATGCCCAGCAGAGGCGAAAAGAAGGGAGTTGGCGTAAAGGGAAGACTTGCTCTGTGGGGGAGAGACGCCCAAAGTGCCTACGGTAGCCGTGCCTGACCGGCGTGGGGATGGGGAGAAGTGTACGATACTTTGTAGATGTAGATTTAATCAAGGGTAAGGGGGAAGAACTTTGTAAGGGGGGCGAACAAAAACCTTGGAAGTTAGTTGATGCTTGTTTATTTTTTCTCTTGGTGATTGAGTTTTTCTTGTTGTGTACCTGACGGGACTCTTAATTCTTTGGGGGTCGTTTTTTGTTTCGTGGTGTTGCGATTTTGGTTTGGGGGGAGCGAGTGGCAAAGCAGGTAATTAATTGAACATGGCCATCCCTGGAATTTTTGGCATCCTTGGTGACGAAAACGCTACGTACGAAAAAATCTTGTTTTTTTGTTTTCTTGTTTTGTTTGGTATTACAGCTATTTTTAATTCTAAAAAATTTTCTCTTTTCAATTCATGTACGAGTGTCTCACTTCATCCTTGAGGGTTGCCGGCTCAATTGACTTTTTTTCAAACCCATGCATTGCTAGTTTTTTTTTTTTTTTTTTCAGGCTTTTCATTTTGCTTGGTTGGTCCGTTGCCTAGGCTTTCGGTGTTCGGGCGGATATTGCCTTGCGAAAAAAAAAAAAAAGCATCTGTGTGGAGAGCTGGACGGACGTGGCCGATGCAAGGCAAGCAATAGGCAGATTGCACACGGGCTGCCTTGTTTTCTTTTCGCTATGTTCCATTCTTGTTGTCTCGCTCCCCTGTAATATGTGTATGTACGTGCTGTAAACGAAGTACTGTAATCGTACGTACTCAATTGACGGGCTTTCGACCCCTGTTTTGCATCTGCGGTTGAATAAACACCGACTGCATCTCCATCAGATTGCGCTTGGCGGACAGGCTACTGTAATGTTGCAGTTGATGCCGCCCAACTCTGGCAAACCTGGCTCTGCGGCTGCGGCTGGAGACCGGGGGAGCGATTCTGGCGGCCCAAACGAGAACGGGGGGGGATGTCAATGCACAGTTGCATCGAAATTTGGCGATTTATTTTTTTACGAGGGAGGATTAGGATTAGGACTTTGCACGGTAGTATTCAGCTAGGACCCCTAGGCAGAAGTTGGATGTAGATTGCATTGGATGTTTTGATTGAGTTGCCTTGCTGGGATGCTGATAGTCTACAAGGCAGACCAAGATGCCTTGTGCAGAGACGGCATTTCAGTTCACTAATTGGATAAAATAGATATCAACGTATTATACAGAAGTGCTGCATGCAAAGTAATAATGCACTTCATTCAATGCCAAGACAATGAAAAACCAAGTCGATACGAGCCAATTGCTGATTTGCCCAAGTTCTGCCAAACCCGCCCCGGCCTTGCCAGCTCATCATCGGCGCATATCGGCCCACGATGGAGATTGGAGATGCAGATGCAGAAACCCAAAACGCATCAAACCCTTGACGCTTTGCTCCTCAAAAAACCTTTTCAAAGAGACCCCCCGGAAGCCAGCTCCTGCTGGTCCGGCCACCGGCTGTCCGGAAAGTGGACACTGTTCGCCCCCGGAATGGCACGTAGGAGAGCCGAGAGAAGAGCTGGGGGGTTTGGTTGGGGCTTTTTTTTCTTTCTGCACAAGGTTTGTTGTGTGCTGTGCGTTGTTCAATTGGGATGGGGAACTGTGTATCCATTTTTCTGTCTCTTGTCTTTCTTCATTGGCCTTTTGCTGGACAAGTAACAACGCAGCACGAGTGTGGGTTTGGAGGAGCGGCTGGACGAGGTTTGAGTCGGTCGCGGGCAGAGACTTGCGCTTCAGTGTACGAGTATGGGGGCAAAGACATTCCACAACGACAACACGTGCCTACTATCACGACGTTTGTATGGCATCACCATGAGTTTACTAGTATTTCCTTAGTACAAGTTTAACTCTGTTCCCGTTATTCTCTGGGGCTGCGGAGCGGAGTTGTGGATTTCTAATGGAGACAAAGCTCTTACTTCTCGCTAGGCACTGTACTTCAACACACAAAAACGAAAAAAAGAAGTAGCACAAAGGAGGCAAAATCCGGAGAGAGCTCTCCCCGACGGCCGCTAACAACACAGGCAAACAGGAGAGACACACTGAAAAAATTCTCTTCCTGTCAGGCCAGCAGACCTAGCTGGGCTGAGCTGGGCTGACTAGCGGCATCGCGGATCTCGATCTAAGGCTGCCTAATGAGCCTTTGGGGGGGAGTGAGATTGCGATGGGCTCAAACAAAACCTAAGATGTTTAAAAAAAAAAAGGGCAACGCAGTACGTATGATGTGAGACAAACGATGAAAATTTTCTTCGCTTCTCCTATTTGGTTGGCCGCCCCCCTTCTTCCAATAGTCTTCTGTTCCTTGCCAGGGGTTTGGATGGAAACAAGTAAGCGAGCGAACATGTCTTGACCTGAAAGCCTCAATTGCTTTTTTTACATCTACGGCGGAGATCGAAATCTATCAATCCGAAAAAAGAAACAAATGGACGAGGAGAGAAGGAAGAAGAAAAAATGCACCCCAGCTGTGCATGTAGCCAGCCCAGCTGATCCGCTTGTGCTGCTTCCAGTCTTCATCCATCGCCTTGCTCAGCCCCTTGCATAACAAAAAAACCACCCGTCGTATGATGTGGCATTTCGTAATTCTCCTACACGATTGATGCGGGTTTTCCCTTTTCATCTCAATTGCAAATAGCATCATCCTCCAAACCTCCATACCGTCATGAGACGTTTGACTTTGGGCTTCCCCTTAACCCGGTGCCCTGCCGTCGGGACCAGCCAGAGAATAATCCTCCGTGACAATTACTCCGTTAGCATCTGCCGGTCAACAAGCCAACAAGCCAACAGCCCAATTCCTTTTCCATTACTCATGCCGGCAAATCACATCCAGCAAAACTCCTGCTGTGAAGACGCCTCTGCCGCCTCTTGGTCCCGGCTGTCGCTCCAGCAAGAAGCAAGACGACAGCCAGGCTGGAGAAATCTAAGCTGGTGTGAGTGGTGGCGAAATTCCCCAAACTGCCGCTTGTCTCAGCCCGTTGAGCTCAATTTCAAATACTGAGCGAGCCGGCTGTCGTCCAAATTGCCACCTCTACTCTAAGCCCGGCATGAGAAAACGGTTCCCAAACAAACGTAATAGTTAAGCACAAGAATGTATGTAAAAAAGGGCCACGGGAAAAGCATCACTATCATAACACACAACACGCGACACAAAGAGAAAAATTCTTCAGCTCCGTGTCAAGGACCCGCCTTCTCCGGCTTCACCCTTCCCGCTTCATCTCACATTCACGGCTACGATCCGGCATAGCAGATTAAATCACACGATTCCCTTTTCTCCTTCCGGATCTTTTCATTTTTCTCCAGGGGACCAGCCAGCCCTACTTCGGCACTCGCAACAAGGGCTTTTTGCTTCCAAATTCTCTTCCGTTTCTCTCACAGTTTTAACCTTGCCGGATCCTCTCCTCCGTCCTCCGTCGATCCCTTAGAATCTTATGATCGGTGGCGTGAGCCGGGCGCGACCGGCTCTTCCGTGTGGGTTACGCTTCCGATTCGCTGGGCTCGACTTGTTTCAAGTTGTCCGTCTTTTCTCGCATTCTGTTTCCGAACTTCCCCTGTTGCTCTTCCGTTCTGTGACGTGCTGCCCACGGCAATTGTTAGTACATCATGCCATGTTGTATCTTGATTGATCTCTGTTTCGTCCAAGGGGGGAGGGGGGTGCATAAACATTTTCTTTGGTTGAATCCATTACATGAAACGAGAGGGCATTAACTTGCCGTGGATCCATAATTCAATCCTCGATACAACCCCGTTTTGTGCTCCGTACAGCCAAAACAACTGCGCATAAACAGAGTCCTGTATTACTCTGCTTAATAGGGCCCAATGAACCGACGACATCCAGTTGAGAGACGGCATAAGCCCAAGGGAGTATCTGTAGTCATGCAAGATCCACCGCCAGCCCAGATCCATCCGCTCGACTCTCTATGGATGCTACATCTGCGGTATCATCCACAAGTTGGCCGACTTCACTCGACTTACACCATCTGCCACCGTCTGCCACCGAGCAACCTAAAAGATGCATATTTTGTTAGAAAAAAATTCTTTCCGTCTCAAGCAAAATAACCTTTGCAAAATCTTTCCTTTAGGTCTAGACTCATCACCCCTATTTTCCCCCACGTCCCAGCCACAAAAGCCCAACATCTTAGAACACACACCACACAAGGAAACAAACTTTGCTCTAAGATATACTCTATCGAGGCCTCGGTCCATCGTCCTCGCCCGTGGCCGTGCCCCAAGCTTCTCCCCCTAAAACTATTAAGTAAAAAGCTTGAAGCCACCACATCCCGCAAAAGCACACCACGATAAGGAACCGCCTCTTCATAGCTCCCGCCCCCAAAGCTCCTGGACTGATCCCCCAAAAGCCACAGCCGCGAGCTTGGCAGATTGGTAAAGGTCCAGAACCCCAGAAAAACATCTAGACGGTTTGCCACTTGGTATTAAAGTATTTCTCCGTTAAGGAATGAAAGTAAGGTGGCTGTACTTTAGCTCATGCTTAGTTGGAACACAGCCCAAGTAAAAGCAAAAGGAGGCGTCTACTCCAACCATATTCGAGCCATTGTCTAGACGGAATAAGAAAAAATGAGAGAGAAGCCACGATATCGGCCAATTTCAAACTGGCAAGCTGCAATCAACCCCCAACATTGGGCTTGCTCTAGAATTCACTCAGCTGGCTGAGGAAGCGAAATCCCCCTCCTCAACCTCCGTTATACTTCCTTTTACGTACCACGATATGATAGACAGACGCCTCCAAAAAAGGAACTTCACAACAAAGTATCGCCAAGAATCCTCATCCGCAAGTACACAGGGGGAAACAACAAAACAAGCTTCCGACTCCTCGACCTCCAGTGGGGGACCTCCCCAAACCAACCAGTCAATGATAGACACACAATCAAACAAGAGCAGGATACAGAGAGAAGAAGCACCGTCAGTTTCACCCCCCCTAAAAGAAATTGGAATCCGAAAAGGGCCGCTCGCATATCCAAGCCTTTCGCCAATGAGATCCCCCAAAGGACCACATACATACATCCTCTCACATCCCGCACCCTCCACACCAAATGCGAAACCCCCAATAAATTTCGTCGACGGGAGAGAAATAAGATATGCAGAAAGGAGCTCACTCAGCTGTGGCCACGTAGAAAGCCTCGGCCCGTTCGAACCCACAGCCTGCATCAGTCAAAACCACACAGAACGCAGCGCCATGCCCAGCCGGAATAACGTCATGCATTGCTTGAATATGCCTCTTGTGCGTCTTATACCATCAATATGAGCCACCATTTTTTCTGCATCTGGTCGTATCCTGCCGTGTCCGTGTCGCAGCCTCGGCAGCCTCAGTTTCGACCTCTGAAGAAGGGAACAGAAAAAAAAAAAGGAGGCTGGGTAGTTCTGCAGCCGTCGTAGTGCAGAATATCCCTCCATCACATCCTACTACACCATATACGTATGTCGTGTGCCGCGTGTGAAATGTGTAATCACTCAATACTTGTCACTTTTTACTCTCCCCCTCCAAGGCGGGGGAAAAATGCAAGGAGCTGCTGGCTGCTGGCTGCTGTTCAACATGCAGCTGGCAAGACGTGCGTAGGCGAATTGGGTGGTAAACTTCGCCGGGAATTGGGGTGGTAAACTTCGCGGGATTGGTTCTTCAGCTGAGGGGTCCCAGGCCAGCAGAGACGTGTAATAGATGGGATGCTCCCGTCTCGTTGGCTGGAGAGGGCCACATCCGGTGGACCGTAATGCAGCTCTTACATTCCCGTATCCTGCATCCTCTCAGCAGCTGTCATTCATTTTGCCGTCTCCGTTCTGCTTTCTGCAGAGCTTTTGCCCACTAGGCGATGCCGATGGGACACGGAAGCGCATATGATAAACAAAGACGACAAGGGGAAAATATTACTCGTATGGTTTTCACCCGGCCTATCGGCTTTTGCTTCACGGTCCGAGATGACACTTGGACGTCGAGGAATGGATGCTCATCTTGAAAAGAGGCAAGAAAATTTTTCATCATCATCATCATCGTCACCTTCATCGCCATCACCATGCGTCTACATGACATGTGTATCCATCCAGCGTAATAAACCATACAAAACTCCAACATGCCCCCGCCCGGCTCACGTACCGTTCCATTGCCAACGAGCGCCTGCATGAAGCGGGCAAATTTCAATCCTTTCCTAAACCCAATTTCCCTTTCTCCCGCGTGTCCATTTTGCACCAGTCGAGGCTGATTGGAGGCTTCCCTGGCCACGGCGCTTCTCCATCTAGCCGCCAAAATTCATCTTCAATGTAATGGTTGGCTGTGAAGCTTCACTTGAAAGTGACTTGTCTGCAGCTCCGGCCGCCGGCCGACCCGATCGGATCACTTCCTCGAGGAATGCCCGCTGACCACTGCTCAGGCCGCCGACAATGGCTCTAAACGCCCCTTGGTCCACAGCTGCCAGCTCCAGGAGGCGTGTGCTTGTCTCTGCATAAACTTCCTCGCCCTCTCCCGTAGCTCTGGCCATGAGAGCCGGAATGATCAATGACATGGCGGCAGTGACACGATCAGGCTTTACCGACCTTACATACAAGCACAGAGTGTGACTGACGAGTGATCGAGTTCGCTCAGGATCCTCAGGCTCCACATTCGTCACAAAGGCCAAAAGTCGTGGGAAGAGATAGCGGGCGATGCTGACATCTGCTGCAGAAGGCGCCCCTTGCAGCAGTAGTGATCGTATGCAATTGGCTGCTATTTTGGCCGTCTTGAAACAAACACAAGGGGGGTTAGTACGTCGGCTGGCATCAAGCGTAGTGAGAGTGAGGGTTGGGGCTGGTGAGAGTGTGAGGGAGGAGTAGGGTTTTTGGGTGGGGTTAGATAAAACATACCATTCGATCTGTGAGGCAGTCTACGACCTCATCTAGATAGCGTGCGACAAGGGGTTCAGTGGCAGGCAGTTGATTCGTGCCACTTGTAAGAAGAATTGTGGTGGCTAGCAGGCTGTTCTTGACAGACGTTAGGGAAGTCGGCGCCTCCCGCTTTTGCGCGTTGAGGTAGATGGACAGGAAGCGCCGAAGACAACCTTGCAGCTGGATGTCGGTGGCCGAAGGCCCTTCGGCCGAATCTCTCCTCGACCTGGACATGCTGGCGACGAATCGCTTCAGTATGGCAAGCGATTGTGGCACAATGAGTTCCTGGCAGCCGGGCGTAGCGAGGATCGTAGCGAAAATGTGAATTATGCACGCGTGTAGGTCCGTTTTGATGATTGATGGGAACACCTCAGCGGCATCTACGATGGCGTTGAGCGCGGTGCTAATCAGCATAATGGCCTCCCCGTTCATCTGGTGTCGTGCCGGCGCATTGCCCTCAGACAGGCCCGGTAAGATGCCAGACAAGACGAGGACGATGATCCTCGTCAGTTCGAATAATTGGTCAATGTCCTCGGAGAGATCGCCGTCGTCATCCGACTGTCTTCGAGCAGAAGGGTGAGTGACACACAAGTCTCTGGCAACCTCGACAATAACGCTCTGGACATCCAGGCCTTCCGTCAGAACAAGACGGTCAAGAAGATCCATTGTCTCGGAGAATACGTCAGGCCGGTAGATTGCGTGGCCAGTGACGCTAGGGTGTAGTATCTTCTTGAGGGCCTGGAGGATGGCTAGCATTTGCTCCTGTGTAGCCAGCGAGTTGTCTTGCCCGGGCCGGGTAGCCAAGGCCTCGAACGCGAGACCGAAGAGCACAAAGAAGAAGGCCACCGGCTCGTCTCGGTAGTTGATGCCCGGTACTTTTGTCTGTCCGTTGGTGGATGTCTCGCTTAACTCTTTGCCGTCCAGGGCGTCAAAGACAAATGCGCTGTCTTGCTCAATCAGACTTGCAATTGCATCGACTAGCTTGAGCCATGCGTCTTGGTAGAAGCGAAGCAGCGTCTCGCGATTCAATGCTGCGTAGATCGTGTCTAGACTGCCCGACAGAGACGGTGGTCCCAGTGTCATTGAAATATCCGGCTCAAACCGAAGACGCGCAAATTCTCGGAGCGCCTCCAGCCAGAGGGGCGTCAGCTTGCCAATGTGCGGCTTGAGAACGTCCAGTAGATATCTCTGTTCGGTGCTGGCCACTTGGAGCTCTGCCCAAGCCGAGAATACGGAGATTTTGACCATGACCTGGGCATTAGAACTGAGACCCTTCAAGTCACCAATACCCGCATTTTCGTTGTCACTTGAGAAGTTCTCCAGAGCATTCACAAGTGTCTTTAGGATACGGCCCATTCGGTCGACGTCGGTGACGATGCCTATGGAAATGAAGCTTGCGCAGACGTTGACAGCCTCCGAGGCCAATTCAGGAGATGAATCCGCCGCAAATGCCGGCGTCAGGGCAGAGCTGATTTGGGCCTGGTACTGCTCTAGCAGCATCGCTTCTTCAAAGTCTGGGTCTGGTGTCTTGCCAAACATCTTGAGGACTGTGCCGATAATCTTGAGACCCCAGATGCGCAACTCCAAGACGCCCGATGTTGACGCAGAAAAAGCCATGCGAACGACATCCGCAATCTTGTTTTGCAGTGCAAGCTGAGCCTTGGACTCGCCATTTGCTGCCACATCCTTGGCGATAATGGCAAATACGTCGTGGATACAGCTCATGGCAAACGTCGTTACTTGCCAGCGCAGAGGCTCTGCTTCTGCTGCTGTCTCGGCCTTGTCTTCCTTTGCATCTGTCGAAGCGGCGGCAAACCCTGCGGCTTCTTCATCTCGTAAGTCAGGCAGTCCGCCTCTCGTAGACTTGTTCACATCCTTCTCTTCCTCTGTCTTAGCTCTGGTCATTTTTAAAACAGCCTGGAAACGTTGAAGCCATGAAGAGGTCTCGCTCAGAGCTGTTTGATGTAGCCAATTTCGAATGATGTTTCGAATACCGTCATGAGATGGGTCAGCATCCAGCACCAGCCATAGTCGGTCCTCGAATCCTTTCTCTGCTTCTCGTAGAACGTCTCGAGGGTCTCGTTTCATGATGTTGTACAATCCATCCACGGCTATGTCTCGTAGGGTTGCGTGCTCGGATGAGAGATACTTCTGCAGCACTTTGACGTAGTCCCCAAAATGCATCTGTCCTGGGGCGTACAAGGAAAGATGCTCCAAGCAGCCCAACGCGGCCCTTTCAACAAAGATGTCCTGTTCTTCCTGGAACTGCCCAACCAATGTAAAGATGAGCTCTCGTGATTTGTTAGCATCTTGAAGATCAGGGCCGAGCACGTTGATAAGCGAGTCTACACATCGTGCAATAGCGGCTGTGGTTGAGAGCTCCATTTCAAAGTTCATCGTAATGGCCGACGATATTTCGGCATGATGCGTCTCGGAGACATAGAGCTGAGCGAGCATTCCCAGGGTGCTCGGCACATAGGTGGCAAAGCTCAACCCGGCAGCGTCTGAGGCTAGAGATAATGCCTCAAGAGCCCAGTAATGAACTACAGGATGAGGGTCGTTGCAGAGTGACATCAATATACCCAGTATTGTCTTCAAGTGATAACCAGCCGCCATTCCGCCTACCTTGGTTTGGATGGCACCCAGAGCCATTGCGCAGCCTGCTCTAGCGCTGGGCTCTCGATTTCCAACAATGGTATCAACAAGGTATTTGATCTCCTGGTTTGTAAATGCATTACCATACACATTGCACAGTCTCGCAACGGCCGCGTAGCCGAGGCTGCGGACATATTGGTCAGGGTCGAGAACGAAATCTCTAACGATATCTTGCAATAGTCGTTCAACTGCGATGTTGCCAATATCTCCGGATGGGGAGCCAGTTTCTTTTACGGCAACCCTCATTGTGCAGAGAACTGCTGTTGCAAGGTTGGCGTTGATGGCTGCTTTGCGGCCCGGGTCTCGTTGGAGAGAGCCCGCAGACGCAAACGTCCTTATCTGTTCGAGGATACTTTCCTGAACCTTGGCTGGGGTAAGTGGAAATGCAAAAGCAAATAGCTGAATGGCGTTGTTGATGACTTCGGTAGCTGGAGGATCAGGATCTGTCGTGCCGTCATCGATACCGCCAATGTACAGCATAGAGGCATCGTGCTCTAGACTGCCGCAGACTGGTGATTGCAGTAGGCTATGAATGAAAGCCTCTGAATCACTCTTTTGAATCTTATCCTCCTGTATGGCATTCTCATTTTGACCAGGTAGCGGCTTGACATTGAACCCCGACACAAGACCGGTTATGCCAAAGCCTGTGTTATCACCAACGTCCCAAATAGACTCAAAGGTGCCGGCAGCATTCGCTATTGACGCGCTCAGTGAGTTGGGCGTGTAGTTGTCGGGATCCGCAAAGAGAGATATCGCAAGAGTCAGCAAATTCGACTGCAGGAGGGCCTCGCTGCCTCCCGCTGGGCTCAGGTTGACCAGTTTGATATAGCACTGCAAAACTCTGCGCTGTACCATTCTATCCAGATCCTGTAGCTGGAGAGCGGGAGTCAGTCTCTGCGAGATGTCCTCGGTAATCTTCTTCGATGGCAGTGTCTTTAAGAAGGCTGTTGTGCTTTGGAGCATGGCCGCAATACGTTTGGAGACATCAACTGTGAGGAGCCGATTGTTGAACTGGAGGAAAGATAGAATGGAGCCTAGAGCGCATTCTCTCACATGTGTGAGGAATGACGCTTCAAGAAGACTCCTGGCCGAAGTATTGTCCTTGGCTAGGGGCTTTGGCAGTGCATTCTTCCAGAGCAAGAGTAGCTGGGATAGATGAATCTTGACAAAGTTTGGACCCAAAGACATGAGACCGCCAATGAGAATCCAAGCCACTTGAATTTGTGTGCTCGAAACCCGAAGCTCTGACTGGCTACTAGATTTAAGCAGATTCGTGGCCATTGTCAAGACTCGGCTGTTGACATCGAGAGAGCCGTGTAGCGGACGAGAAGGGCTGGCGCTTAGAGTGGCAGCCAGTCCATGTGCGAATCCAATGCATCGCCTGGGAGAGTTGCGCCCCGTTCCCAGCAGAGTTAACTCTCGGCTGAGGCTGTTCATGCAGACTGAGAGACAGGGCAATAGCTGTTGAGGGCATGCAAGAACAAACGTCTTCATGCAATGCGACGCAAACACCTGCACCGAATAGCTCGGGTGCTGGAGAACTTGCAGAAGCCCGTCTCGGCAAGACTCTGCAAAACTGTTCGCGGCGGAACCGAGAGACTTGATCAGCGATGCGACTGCGTTTAGAGCAGCGATAAGGGTGTGCTTTTGGGGCTCTGGTCTTTCAGCCAAGGCCTGGGGGTAATTCTTCAGTACGCCGCTGATCAAAGACTCCGCCGCAGATGTCTGGCCAGATTCACCCAGAATCTTGCGCCCAATTACATCCTGAATAATTGCATCCGCAATCTTCCTGGATATCAACAAGCGGTAGCGGTTGTTGTTGATGGTTGTGGCGCCAAGAACATCAACGGAGAGACTCTCCACTATGCTCAGATAATTGGTCTGTACCGTCTTCTCGCCGAGCCGTCGGAATAGTTTACCGTAGCACACTCCAATTGCCGCACGAGTTTTGTTCGTCGTCGCAGCCTTGACATAGTGGCCGGCCAAGATCTTCAAGATATCATGGAATGATAGAGCAAGGTCTTGGCTTCGCCTCGCGCCAGGAGCTGGGCTCGACGAGCGGGAGGGGATCTCGTCGTCATCTCCTGCGATGCTAGGGTGCGTGGATGCTCGCTTCAGTTTAGTCTTGGTCTTTTTATTCTTCGCAGCGGCTTCTGCAGCGCTGGACTCTGAATATCCTTGTACTAGAGCCTCAGCAAAGCAGCTGGCCATCGCAGTCCGAACCTTTGCAGATGATGAATCGGCGGCCTTGAACATTGCCGTCTCCAGCTTATCGAAATCGGTAGAATTCTTGAAGTATGTGGTGTGTTTCACCAGAGCTTTGAGGCATCGGCATGCAGACGCAACAACGAGAGTTCCCTTGTCACCAGCGGCATGGCTTCTCGCCTGCTTCCACACATCCCTCGAGATGTATTCATCCATGGACCCCTCGACCATGATGACAATCTTCTCCAAGGCGGTAAACACCGCCGCTCTTATTCCTGCGTTGCTCGAGGCCGACTTCAGCAGCTTCAGCAGCGTTGTGCATGCCAGCTGATGCAACCCAATGGCGCTGTCTCCAGCAGAGGCAAACACATCGCCCAGGCAGCTAACAGCCGCATGCTTTGCGCGCGTCTCGCCATCCGACTTTGATTTTCCTCCGGCCGCTATCGCAATAAGGTCGTTTATCGTCTCGAATAGCAGCTTCCTGTCGCCCTTGCCGAAAATGTGCGCCAGGCAAGCTCCCAGGTTGTTTCTGATGACACGGGACGGCTGCGGGGCGGAGAGGTTGATGATCTGGAATATCTCGCGCTTAAGATAGAACTGCTGGGCTGTGCAATCGTCCGCCGAAAGGCCCAACACATGTTTCCTTAGGCCCGAGACAAAGGTGAGCAGGAAGAGATCCTGTTGCTCGGCGGGCAGTGTTTGAAGCTTGGGGAGATCCAGCTCCGGGTTGGCAGTGGCAGGATCGACGGCGGTGCTGGTCTGCCCGCTCGCAGGGGGAGCTTCGGGCTCCTGGCTCGACGACATGGTGGGAATCGGGTGTCGTCAGAGGGGCCCCGTCTGGTCGTGTATTTATTCTATATCGCCTCGTCTAGTCTCGTATCGTCTTGTCTTCGTAATGATGTTTTTGATAGGGGGATGGCCAGCTATCCAAGTATGATGATGGGCATCGACACTAGCGGTGGTGCAATGGCCAATCAGCAGGCCGCTGTGGCCCTGGATGGGCAGCCTTCCGCCCCAAGCTTCAGGGAAGATTATTAACCCGGCGCATTCCAGGAACATGCCATATTGTATGGATGCCTCGAATTGAAGCCTCGAAGAAGACAAAAAAGAGATGGTAAGGCTTTGGAGTGGCTAGGCGGATTTCATCTCGTGGCTCATTACTGGGGAGCATTACAATGAACCCTTCAAGGTCATTCTCGTTCGCGAGAAAGTCTCTTTTGTCTCCCGGCAGTGTTTTATGCCCGTCATGTTCAAGGTCATTTGGAGCAACAGCGTCTCAGTATGCCGGACATAACAAATGGTCCAAAACGAAGCACATCAAGGCGGTAACGGACAAAAAGAAGATGACTGAGCGGGTTTCATTTACAAAGCTTATCACCATGTACTCAAAAAGTGAGTGACGCCAAGTTCCCCCTCACAAGCTCTCAGACAGCGCCATCTGACATTTGATATGAAAAGTGTATGGTGAGGATGTCAGGTTCAATCCGCAGCTAGCAAATGCGGTTGCAGCAGCGACAAAAGGTATGGATAACTTACAGATCCTTGCTCTCTCCACACATACATGGAAAAAAAGTATTCCTCTAATACGTAGATTAGCAAGCGTGCCAAAGTCATTAATCGAAGGGGCCATAGCACGAGGCCAGGGCCGCTCTGCAACCGGCGCACAGCTTGAGCCCATGACCATGGAGATTCTCATGCCGCCCAATATTGCTCTAGTTGCTGATATTGAGACGGATAATAAAACACGCAGCTTACACGACCTCAAGTTTGTAGTCAAAAAGGCCGGTGGTCTTGTCGGATCAACAGCCTTTTACTTTTCAAGACGCGGGCGTGCGGTGTTTAAACCTAGGGATGGTGGCCCATCTCTGACAGACGTCCTAGATGAGGCAATTGAGCACGAGGGTACCGAAGATGTCGAAGAGCACCCTGACGGCGGGTACTTGATTTGGACGGAGCCATCCAAGCTCATGGCCATCACCGAGGCCATTTCTAAGCGGTTTGAGCTCGAGGTTGTCGAGTCTGAGATCATGTGGGCTGCGAACGAAGACACCAAGGCCGACGTCGACTCGGCTGAACTGGTGGAAAGTTTGAATACTTTGCTTTCCGGCCTTAGGGAATATACTGAAGTCAGAGCGCTCTTCGCCAACATTCGCCAAGGCACCATCACAGACGACGAATGGGACAAGTTGGAGAGGCATATTGATATATAAACCGCATCATAAACACAAGCCGTATACTGTACAAAAATCACCCCGAGCTATTAGAGTTGAATTTTTCCTATACCAATCCCCTTTTTCTTCAGCCTGAACGCCAATCATGCATTTTGTCCCGTTGTCGCCAATAGCGCCCATCCACACAAATTTGATATAATACAGTCCATTCTCCCCTCATTTGATCGCAAGATTCCTCATCGTTGAATATAATGGCATATTGAAGCACCATTAAGAGCTGCTCTCGTTCCTCTGAGCCTGCTGGGCCTGCTGTCGCTGCTTCTCCTCCAAAAGAGCCTGTCGCAACTTCTGTCGCGCCACAATTCTCTCGTACTCCGCCTTGACTTCCTCCCTATCCTGTGGTAGCTTGTTGCATTCCTCAGGCTTCGGCCAAAAGTCGTTCACAGTGAAGCGGTTATCCAGGTTCGTTCCGAAATAGTACATGATCCCGATGGGGAAAAGTAGGTAGGTACCGAACTGTTCCGGAGAGGACGAGAATTAGGAATCGTCGGCATTGCTGGCGGCAAGGAAGCTTACCTTGAAGACTTCGAGATTAAGGCCACCCATATTGACTAAAGGTTGCTATATTGTCAAGATACTGGTTGGTCAATGCGTGGAAACGTCAATCTCGGAAACTAGATGCTGTTGGATGACGAGAAGTTCGCCAAGATGCGTTTACACCATAACCTCGATAAAGCGGTAGCTGTTCAACCCCGCTGACTCTAACCCCCACATCTCACACCACCCATTGTCTGCCAGAATCAGCTGATGGGTAGATCCGACTCGGGAGCTGTTTATTACTGTTACATGGCTGCCTTTTATTAAGCACCGCATCAACCAAAGAAAAATAGTACAGTATCAAATCCCATATGTGTTTACAAGGGCTTATCCAGACTATGACTATGCGTATACACTTTTGATCGCCAACGAACAAAAATACGTGTTTGGCAAATGATGTTTATAATATAACGTCGCCTGGACAGGAGGCCATCCCCAACCGTGCTCATTCTCTCATGAACAAATAACAATACCACATGAATCCTCGCAAAAATACAACGCCGTCGAGATTTCCAGTTCCTTAGAATCCATAACCCGTACCCACAAAGCTTTATGGTAAGCTGAGATAGGAGACCCAACCCTCCCCCGGAGACAAAGACGCCAGTAAGTTCCGTATACCAAGAAGAGCATCACTGAGCGGCTCCATTCCTTTCCCTTTCTGCCTGTGCTTCCTCCATCATGAAACGCTCAGTGAAACTCCGAGGTGTCCCTGTAAAGCCAGGCTGGACAACACTAGCACGGAAGCTGCTGAGGTCTCCCTCATCCATTCCGCTTCGACCGTCTAGACCACCCACAAAAGTATTAAATTGGCCCAACGAGGCCGCCCTCGCATGTACCTCTGGGTTGCGAACAACAGGCATGATGACCGGACGGCCTTTGTATGACCCAAGAGACCCAGGCTGAAATCTAGACACGGTGGACATGGCATTCTCTGGTCTGGGTCGCGCGATGGAGACTGCCGGTGAGGTTGAATAGAGGGTTGGCTGGCTAGGCCGATCCATATTCGGCACGTCGTCCTGAGATTCGTCGTCGGAAGAGTCTTCCTCGTCTTGCGGGGGAGGCGGCCTTTCGCGGGGTTTTGGTGGAGCACTTAGACCGCCAGGTTCGAACTCAAACATATCGTCGTCGTCGCCATAATCGTCCACGCTCTCATCTTCAACAGTAGCTGGGATTCTGCTCTCCTTGGGGTTGCTGGAGTCGCTGGGATTGAGGTGTGGCTTGTCTTGCGTAGACGTCGCAGTTATGAGTCCAAGTCCATTGCTCACCCTTGCTGCCGGCAATTGGGCGACAGGAGCCGACGCAGGCTTCTGGGCGGTAGAAGTTTTGCGCTTGCCCATGGCGAGATATTCGTCCTCGTCGTCTGAAGAGTCATCGGCATCCTTGCCGTTTTCTGATCCGCGATTGTTGACGTCATTGGATATGATAGATGTCGCATTACCGCCGTGCACAACTCTCACTGAATGAGTGTCTATTCTTGAATGATTCGCTGTAGATGTGGACTGCTCGATAGACCTGGGGTTCTCCAGGGTTGGCGTACTCGTACCGTCTTGCTTAGACTTGGGCCTGTCCGAGTCAGGATTGACGACGGTCCAAACAGTACCTTCCTCGGCCGGCGCCCTGGACAAAGCTCTCAGCGCCTCGGTAGAAGAGCTCTTCCGAACTGGGGGCTCCCACTCGTCAATATCGTCGCCTAGTATCATGTCGGAAGCAATTGGCTCGTCTTCTAGTGCTGGTTCCGATACAGCGGGAGTTATGAATTCAACCTGCTGGGGCGATGACGTAGGTAAAACCTCTGAACCCATAAACTCGAACCGGACTCGCCTTGGGCTCTGGGGAGGTTTGGAAATACTAGACGAACGTCGCAGAGCACTTCGTCTAGTCTTGGAGTCGCTCTTATCCGAGTTGACAGACGAGGTTGACTCCTCGGTGGTGGTTCTGACGAGGCGGTGCGCCTCGGCTGGAGCCTGAGCGTCTGCCGGAACCTCGCTGTTGCCTGTGGTTGTAAGGCCACCACCCATGGTGATCCCATGGTCCGTGGCAGTGCCATTGTCGACCTCTGGTGGTGCCATTACAGGCAGCAATGGGAAGGCGAGTGCTGTCTGTGTCGAGGTTGTCGTGCCCGTCGAGGCGACAGTCGAGGTGGCAACAGGTCTGCGATCGTGTGGAGGGGAGCTGTCCAGCAGGGGCAGGTAGCTTGGCGTAAAGAGACCCTGCAACTCCGTCTCCCGCTCGCGCGAGCTGCTATTGGGAGCCTCGATACGAGCAGCTACCTCAGGCGTCGGAGCCTGTTGGAATGCAGCCGGGTCAGGTGGTTGTGAGTCAGCGGCCTCCAGCTTGGGATCCAGCTCGGGGCGGAGTGTCGGGTAGTTGGCAAAGGAAGGCGAAATGGCCTGCTGGATGCTGGTAGCGACGCTGGGGTTGACGCCGGTGAGAAGGTCGTGGTAGTAGCGCTGGAAGTCGGAGACCAGGTCGTAGCGGTAGGCAAGCATCTTGCCCTCCAAGTCATCCAGCTTGGTGTGGAGGCTGCTGAGCAACGTCGCCTCCATGGCTAACAAGAGGCTGCAAGCGGACTGGAGCGTGTCAATGGCCTTGATCTGCGCATGACGCTAGGCAGGGCGGGGATCAAAGGCGGCCGCTGGTTTGGAGCCGACAAACTCTATGCACTGGCCAGAAAAAGAATCGGTTTGAGTTCCGTCGTCACAGACGAGATTGAAAAGCACGGCCAGGTGCATGTAGATCTGGGCAGCGAACAAGTGGGTTAACTACATGTATGGGCATTTACATAGCGCGGCCTCTTCCCCCACCCTCCGACCTGCCCGTGACCCTGTCTATCCACGCAAAGAAAGAGCTATTATTCTCGTTGTTTTTCATCCTGCATCTCGAGGTTTCTTCCTCAAGACCTGTCTAGCATATGACCAAAGCCCTCGTCTTATGGTAATCGACACTGTCTGCTAGGTTTGACCTCCGAGAAAGCTGGGCGACGTTGGGCGTTTTGATCCGTTGCGTTGAGGGGGGGGCTTACGCTAGGCAGATATTAGATTGGCAATTCAATCGGATATCGTCAAGCCATCGCACCAACCACACGGCGTGGTTGGAGCGACTCGATTGTTTGCCTGTCATGCCATGGTTGATAGGCGCCTTGAGCAGCAGCAAATCAGCGATGTCGCCTGCTAGTGCCCGCCATCTGCGGTGATAGGAAAAGCCTTGGTTTTTGGTAACTCTTCCACGGCTTTGGCAAGCAGCTTGCCCGGCATGTCTGGATGTGGCAGACCACCATTTCGGAGCCCGGATATTCCAGGCTGCTTCCAGACCACCAGAGGCCTGAGCCAAGCCCTCCGTGCCCCCAACAAGGCCTGAGGAGCGTGGGCAGGCGTGGGCAAGCGTGGGATATAGAGGGGGTTAGTGGTGCTGCTCATGCATCATGCTGCAGATCTCCCCTGTTGGCTCGGTGAGGCGAGGCAACCCCTCATCTCTCATCTCTCCTCTATCCGGCAGCACGCGGACAGCCCTGGAGCTTTGTACAGTCATACAGCCCGGCCGGTGTGCCTGTGGTGCTTGCTTGGCTGCTTTGCGGAGCCCCTTGGGAGCGCACAAAACATGCCTTGTGTCTTTGTGTGCCACATGCCCAGCATTTGTACCCAATTACTCATATCTAAGCCGTAGACACCACTTGAAGAGTGTATGCTACAACACCAGACTTGCTCAATGAAGCCGGCGAGGGCTACTCACGGCTGCTTGATGCTCTGGGCCGGATATGTGCGTATCCGTTCAATGGAATATTTAGTACTAACTAGTGTCTCATGCTCAATGCAACTTAGTAGGCACATGGTGTGTGCATTGTTCTGCCGCTACCGGACCAACCTGAACTGCTGGACAAGTACGGTGGTGTCACTCTGCGCCATCAGCTTTGAGGAATGAGAATTAGGGTTACGGAGTACGGCGTAGATACAGCATGTTCCTGAATAAATCTAATAATAGCAAAAATCTTCATTCAGCGTTTACAGTGTCGAGCAGTAAGCATGTGAACGAATGCAACAATGGTGGGATTCATCTACCAAGCCGTTTGCAACCTCACGGATCTGGACTCGAGGTCGAGGTGACTTTGTGGCTGAGGGCCGGCGATCGCTGTACCTGAGAGACAGCTCCGTCAACTATTCAGGTGCCTTCAGGTACTGAAATTCATCACCTGATGCGAATTGCCCCCTAGGCCTCTAGATGCCCTGTAAGGACTAGAAATGCAGACTTGAGTACTTGATAGCACACGGCAGCTGACACATGATCTTGAATATCTCGTAGGTACAAGGTGCTCTGGGGTTGTGGCTGGTGCTCAGCTTGCCTGCCGATAGCTTACACCGCTTTCCCCGTTTTGGACAACCCTGACATGGGTTCCGAAATTCTGCCCATAGCCTCGCTCAGGTTGTGGGCCGTATCGGCTGCGCGTGCTCGCTCTCCTTTGGCCATCAACAACTTTTGACCGAATCCCATCGAGGGAATCCGACGGACGCGGGATTACTTCACACTCTTTCACCCCATTGCGACGATATTCCCAGGATGTCAACCATTCCAACCTCGGCCCTCCAGTCGGGGTCTCCACCCATCATCCCGCTGCCGTTCAATGCCAAACAGCCCGAGAAGGTAACGCTGTATCCGCTATCCAACTACACATTTGGTGTCAAGGAGACACAGCCAGAGGAGGATCCGTCGGTCATTGCCCGTCTGAAGCGCCTAGAAGAGCACTTTAGTGAACATGGCATGCGCCGCACCTGCGAAGGCATCCTGGTGTGCCACGAGCACAACCACCCCCATATCCTGATGCTGCAGATCGCCAACGCGTTCTTCAAGCTTCCTGGAGATTACCTGCGGCCAGAAGACGACGAGGTTGAAGGGTTCAAAGCTCGACTGGATGAAAGGCTTGCGCCGGTAGGCCGATTGGGCGAAGGCGAGGAGGCCGGTGACTGGGAGGTTGGCGAGTGTCTGGCGCAGTTTTGGAGACCAAACTTTGAGACCTTCATGTATCCGTTCATCCCTGCGCACGTTACACGGCCCAAGGAGTGCAAGAAGTTTTACTTTATTCAGCTACCCAAGAGCAGTAGGTCTCATTCATTTCCAAGCAGGTTGTCACACATACTAATATCGTCCCCCCCTTCGTAAAGAGGTGCTCAGCGTGCCCAAGAACATGAAGCTTCTCGCCGTCCCCTTATTCGAACTCTACGACAACACCGCTAGATACGGACCGCAGCTGTCTGCCATTCCACACCTTCTCAGCCGATACAACTTTGAGTTCGTCGATGAGAATGGAGATGTTGTTGCCGCAACCCCCGGCGCAGGTGCCCCCGACGGATATGTGCCCAAGCCCAAGGTCTTGGCTGGCGACGATACGGATATGGTTGAGGAAAATGGGACACATTGATTTAGGTGACTGATATATTGGAAAAGAACATGGCGATGGTGTTTGGCGTATAGGTAAAATGAATGTGTGCAATCTTCAAAGATTACTGGCTGTCTATTTCCATACAGACCTCCGAATCAATGTCATAGACTCTTTTTATGCCTTTTCTCCCTTGTCTCCCTGAATGGTGGCTATTATGTTACGGCGATGTTTGCTTGTCCTAAACTCCAGGTACCAGATTCCCTGCCATGTTCCAGTGGCCTTGGAGGAATGTCAGTTGGGCATGCTACGGGAAAAGAAGGCAGAGCTTCGTCAACTTACTAGTCTGCCATCCTTGATTGGAATAGTGACGCTGGCGCCAATGAGTGCTGATTTGATGTGAGCCTATACGAAGTTAGATCTCTGACTTGCTAAAACATATTTATGACTAAGACTCACTGGCATGTCGTCGGGGCCTTCAGCACTGTTCATGATGGTATTAGTGCAAAATCTCATGAAGCCAATATCGATGCTACTTACTCATGGCGATACAGAGCCTCTCCCTTGGCACCAGCTTCTGGCGCAATACGATCAAGAGCGTCACTCATGTCTGCTCTAACATCCTCGTCCCCTAAAAGGCCATCATGTCAGACTTTGCATGCAATCATCTTATCATTTAGACAGCTATAGAGCTAGGGAAAGAAAAATAGAAGGAAAGAACACACAGTTCTCATTCAAGCTAAGAGCACAGCTCGTATGCTGAACAAATAGATTCAACAAGCCAACTTTGTATTCCTGAATCTCAGGCAGCGCGGAAACAATCTGATCCGTGATGAGATAAGAGCCGCGCGACTTGGCCGGCAGTGCGATTTGCTTCTGGAACCAGGTCATGGTGGCGATGGAGTTTGACGGTAAGGGCGGGGCCAAGAAGATGTAGCTGATAGGAAGAGTCCAAATATAGTGAAATGCGTTAGGAAACAAAGATATCATAAACAGTAAAATAAGGAAAATGGTTGTGATGTCGTCGAGACGCTGAGGCATTCTGTGGTTTCGATGATGTGTGAGGTGGAGACTTTGAAGCTGCTACCTCGCCGCTTTAGTGGGGTTAGCGGTTTTGGGTGAGTGTGTACAAAGTACAGCAACTGGACAGACTTTGTGACATCGCCTGGTGTGCATTCTCAAGTGTTAATTGCATTAAAAGAAGATGATGTAGTATTTGAAATTAGCTCAATGGAGGAATATGAGAGGCAAGCCGAAATAAGCGTCACTACAATTACATGAATTGCGGCTCACACAATCCCTCAGGTACACTACAGTAGATTCAATGTGTAAGTAGAGCAACTTCACAGCCCCTTGTTTTATGTACAATATGATGGCTTCTTATTTTTCTTCATTTAAACTCTTCATGACTAGTACAAAATAACTTGTGAACCGACCCAAGGCCTGTCTATGCCCAGCAGCTCAATAACCCAGATTCCCGCCTTGCTGAAGAAGTCTATTTTAGGGGGTAGGAAGTCTCGGGTAGGGATTCGAGGTGTTTTCGGTGGTGCTCGTTGGCCTATTCGATTGTTAGCTTTTCCCTAGTGTCCCATTGGTTTTTATTGAGCAGTCAGGCGTACGTAGGGGGTGCCGCAGTAATTGCAGGAGGCAATTTCGGGCTTGTCGGTGTTGATGAAGATCCTGGGGTGACCGGCAGGGCCGCCGCCGCCATCGCACGATACAATCTTGTCGTGAGTCCATGTAACGGGCACCTTGTGCACCAATTCCATAGCTGAGTAGGGTTGAGGCTGCAATCACATCAATACTCTGGTCTCTCACGGCAAATACCACTCGACGTTTGTACCTGAAGGGCGAAATCGGTCTGTTCGAATCGAGGACCGGTCATGGCCGTTGATCGAGGCTTCTGGCTTCGAGACCAGATAGCACCACGATTGGGGGCCTGGCTGATGGCTTTCGAATCGGTCTCGAGGACAGCGGCCGTCTCGCTCGTGCCAGTAACAGGCGCAGATGCCTCGAGTCGGCGGGCAGAGGTGGCGAATGATCGGCTCGATGCGCGCAGGTTGCGCGTCAGCGCTTGAACCGATCGCAATTGGGACGAGGCCATGGCTGCGACGTTTGCGATAAGATTGTGTGATCTGGACTCGAAGCCGAGCAGCAATTGCCTTGAGTTGAGGTTGGATCTGGAGGTGGGTTGAACGAACACCGGAATAAATATTGTCCGAGATCGGCAGATACTTGCTGCAGGCGCACGCATCGCGACAAGCTAAGGTACCTAGCAGTAACTTTTTTTCGTTTGGCTCTGTTGACCTTGTTGGAAAACTTTCAACTTTCAACGCAGACAGATTGTCTGCAACACGACTCGCCTCGCAGAAAGAAGCATAACTGGTCGCTAGCTTTTGGACAATTGCCATAGGGCTTCTTCATAAGATGGCTTCAGAAACACCTAAAGGAGTCTCTTCGAGGCTCCTAACGATGAAGTTTATGCAACGAGCTGTTGCGTCGGCTTCGTCTTCGTCGCCACAATCAGACGACAGCTCCCAGAACTCCAAAAAACGAAAGCTTAGACATTCAGCGGCCACAGCTGCAGAAGAACGAGTTAGCGCGTTGATAGATCAGGCATCAATCAAAGCAGCTCTCGAAGACCAGGAGGCAAAACGACAGGCAGCGCTGGCCCAACACACTGCGACCGGCGCGCATTGGGTTTTGAACACAAAGCTGGATAAATTGAATGCTTGCAGACCTTCAGAACCCGCCCTAAACGTCATTTATGTCGGTTACGGAGATATCGATTCATCTGACGAGTCTGGTGGCGAAGACGCTCCTCAGATTGGACGGACCTCGACACGGAAACCCAAGGTAGAAGAGAATCAGGCATGTCAAAGCTTCTCCATCACAACATAGAGTATAAATTGTCCCTTGGCTGACATTTAGCAGAAACCTAGCTCTGGCAAAGACGATCGGCCAGATGAGGAATCATCTAGCGACGATGACGACGATGACGATTCAGCCCCGAAGCGCAAGAGTAGACGTTTAGATACTGGAGACAGCTCAAGTCGTTCCCAGTCGCGGTCAAGACCTCGTTTCAGCGATGAATCTAAAAAGGCTAAAGACTTCCGTGAGAAGCGAAAGAAGAAGGAGGTTCGATTGAACAACATCTCTTCTATATCTGCTGGCGGCGGCGGCAGCCAAGCTCCAATCAACTGCTATGTCTGCAAACAGCCTGGGCACAAAGCAGCCAATTGTCCCAAGGGGGCTTCCAGGAGGTGATGAACAAACCTGCCCTTTTGGCCCCATATTGGTGAGAACGACTGTGTTCCCATTTATTGCTTATACGCATTCTGTCCCCATAGGGATACGTAATTTTCATGAATGCAGAGGCCAGCCTCTCAGATTTATACCCGAACAGCTCATAGACAAATGCTTGCTTCAGATTAGCTTGCACGTTTTCATTTATCTCTTCATATTAGAAGCTCTGGTCTGTCGAACAGACACAACGCCGCCATATGGATGCGGCAAACAAACAATATACAAATTTAGCTATGGGTAGCTTCCCGCCCATGCAGCATACATCATATTGCTGATCAAAATTAAATAAAATCTTATAATATTATATTCATCCGTCGATGATCATAATGAAGCTCATGCGCATATGTTAGATTCCATTTCGCTCTGATTGAGAGACAGCCTATGGTACACACAGCCAATTGATACGCCGCACCTCACATTCTGATTATAGCAGAAGGCAATGCTGCTGCGGGCATGGGTATGATGCTGGAGCTGGTCTGCAGAAGGCACCACTTCTCCCGTGTTATCGCAATCCCCATGCAATCTTGGTGAAATATAAGATCCTTACAATTCAATCGCGGGGCGGAGACACCATTTCCTTTATCACATACCTACATGCATGCATATCACAATACGGGAGCGATGAGTAATTAATGAGATCTCCCGTTACTGCAGGTCGCTGCCCTTTTTCAACCATTCACTGGGAATAAATGCCACAGCCTCCCACATCCGCAAGAATACATGAACTTTCTTAGTGAAGCCTTAGCAATGGAATAAGGTAAGTCTACACGCATTGAAGAGTCCGATTCCTTAGCTGACGCATCGCAAACGGCGCACTATATCCAGTGTTGCATAGAGAGATGTTGGTCATAAATTGGCAATCGACTTTGAAAGTCAATGACTGCATGACCTATCCAACACTCCGGCGGCTACGTGCAGCTCAAGGTTGTAGTAAGATACCTTACTCTTTGAGTGGTACTACTAAGCTCCAGCTGTTACCGCTACCGTCTTCAAGCATCTTACTCTAGCATCGTTATCTTCTTTTAGCATCTGATATGGTAATGGAAGTGAGTAACAGATAGCTATGAGTGCTGCGTTATATCACTTCAGGTTGAGATAGGGATGGCAAATAGCCATTCCCTTCGCTCTCTGGCGACTACCGAACGATACTCTGCGGCCAGGTCTGGATAAGCACTGCCGATACACGGAACGGGACCTGGCTTATGCGAGGCCGTCACACAAGGGAGTCTCAGCACCCTATCTTATACGGCCTTGATGCGCTTTGCAGCGCGAATGTGTGATCTTCAAAGCCATTTGCGGGGTCTACCATCCTTCGCTGGCAGTCTGTTGTGAAGGATGAATCCACCAGATTAGCACTGTTAGCAGCTTTGCCGTACGCAGTCACCAACTTCGAGGGTCAAATCGGACCACAAAGACGCCCGCAGGAGGGTTGCGTACATATTACATGCATACGGATTGCATTCGCGCGACCCCAGGTCCAACTGACGGCCAGTATTTAGTAATATCCTCTTCCCACTTCCCCGCTATGGACCAAGAGCCATGGAAGAGCGGATTCGGACATCACAGGAGCACCTAGCTTGGTCGCTTGTCCTAGAGGCGAAGCCAATAGTGCTAATGGGCAATAGAGCGTCTTTAGCTTGCTCAGGATTCAATCACCCGTGTGTCAAAGCTCGACAGTGTTACTGTGCCGCAACCAAGAAGCGAGCGAGCACACGATCAAATGTCACCGAAAGCTCCTAGACTCTATGCCAGTGGATATGGCACATGAGCCCTTGACTCGGCTTCGTTCCAAGCATTGCCCGCTGGCTGTGGAGCTGCGGGCACAGCAGACGAAACCCGCGTTGATCAGAGAATCTCTTACGATGGCCATGGCTCGGCTTGACAACCCTGATGGGCCGGTGGCACCCTCGCAGCCCATAGGATCGTTGACGTGTCAAATAGCCATCTCTTTGCCTTATGCATGGCCGTGGCCTAAGCTCACTGACCCAAGTAAGCAGATCAGATCGCAACCCTGACCTCTGTGTTTAGCGCGCCCCTCTTCACGGAGTCCAAGCAGACATATCCGTACTCGTACTTGGGGGAGGCTGTGAGCGACCTGCCGAGGGAATCCTCGGCGTCTACTCAACGCTCTGTGGTTGGACAGCCCCCCGCTGTTATCATGCCGTGGGACGTCTGAGCAAAATGTTTGCCCATCACCAGGAGGTTATCAGGTACAAATTCACGCTGAGACCAACGGCAATCCCTGCTCCGAGTACGACCAGGACAAAGCCCACCACTGAACGACTAGTGGGAGCTTTGGGAGAGAATCATACCCACTGCGAATCCGCATCCAAGACGGTGGAAACGAGACGGGGAGCGCGCCATCTTGCTCCCCACACCCCTTGCAGGATCACAAAAGCTTCGGCTTTTCACGTCTCCTTTGCTGTGCATCATAGACTACTGGGACTGACCCTGCGGAGCCAATGACAGTTGTGTCACCACATCCCGAAGCACAATCCCAACAAATAACGGCGGCATTCGACCTGCTGGCCCCATGATTTGTCGTCCAGAAATGCCACCTTGTACATAATGGCAACATTTTAGTTTCCCTTGGCTTTATCCTAGGACCAGCTACTCCGTGCTGGGAAGCAAGGAGTGGCATCTTTGCCTGGGAAATATCAAGGCGGCAAAAGACATGCATGATTATTGCACGCTGGTTCCCTACTAGCTCGTTACAATCGGTGGCAAGCTGCGCAGTGTGTGAAGTTGTAAACACCATGTACAATGACCAGTCGATGAGATGAGCTTCCGCAAAGAAATGTATGTAGCACGGTTAGTTGGGCGATCCAAAGGGAAGAAAATCCTCCAGGTATAAAAATCTTTCGTCCGCTTCTGTCTCATGGCAGTCTCAAAGGGGGACCTTGAGGAACGAGCTTGAAGGGGGAGCTTCTTTCACCCTCAGATCGTGTAAGCAAGCAAATAAGCAACAAAGGCTTCTCAGCAGCCCGCTTCGGACATGGTGTTCCAGGCATCTGACAAAGTACGCAATCAACGTAACAACTCTTGCCATCTCACAAAGCCCACGCTACCAATGCCTCGGTACTATGTATATGCAGGACTTGTTGAAGCAGTTGCGTCCGCTATATAAGACTGATTACATGTACTCGTCCAACTTTTGCCGAAGACCTTTATCCTTTTACATACAGCCCGCATATTTCCTTCTTCTCTTACTACCATTACTCCTACAGGACTTCTTCCTTCTTCATCACTCCTTTCTCGCTGCATTCCCACCAATCTCGATCCTGAGAAACAGCCGCTGAAACACAAACCTCTAACCCACTGCAGGCAGCTCCATTTCGGTGATTTTCCCGATCCTCTTTTTGTCGAAACCGTCCGGCACCTAAACCTGGGTGGCGCACCCCCACTAGCAAACTACGAGCCTCACACCGCAACGGGTCTTCGATCAGTCAGCCTACAGCCGCCACCTCCAAAACCAATCACCCATACGATCCTTTTGGTTCCCTGGGCTGAACATCCTCTCTCTCCTTTCCGAGGTTTGTCGGCACAGATTCATCGCTGCCGCGCCTGTTGATCTTTTGGCACTGGACATTGGACACTGGACTCTTTGTTATCCGCACGCCTCACCACACAAACCCCCGCAATGCAGCGTGTGCCGGCGCCGGTCAAGGCTGAGGCCCAAGCCCCCAGTCACCAATCGCCGGTCGTTGTCCTGACTGACAGCCTGGAGAAGCCCTCGCTGGATGACCGCGATTACCGCGTAGTGCGGCTGGAAAACGAGCTCGAGGCTCTGCTGGTTCACGACCCTGAGACGGACAAGGCCAGCGCCGCTCTTGACGTCAATGTGGGCAACTTCAGCGATGAGGATGGAATGCCGGGCATGGCACACGCGGTTGAGCATGTAAGTCGCGTCTCCTGTTCTTGTTGCTTTCTGTTGGACTTGATTGGGTTCTCCCCGTTCCTACCTACACTGCAATTGCTGTATCTTACCAATTGTGCTTCTTGCGATCCAACACTTGGGGGCTAACACTGGAGCCGTTGTAGCTCTTGTTCATGGGCACGAAAAAGTTCCCTATCGAGAATGAGTACAGCCAGTATCTCTCTGCCAACTCTGGCAGCTCCAATGCGTATACAGCCGCCACTTCGACCAACTACTACTTCGACGTCGCGGCCAAGCCGGCCAACGACCAAGACCCGTCAGATACCAATCCCTCACCACTCCGTGAGGCCCTCGATCGCTTTGCGCAGTTCTTTATAGAGCCCCTCTTCTTGTCCAGCACCTTGGACAGGGAACTTAAAGCTGTCGACTCGGAGAACAAGAAGAATCTGCAGAATGACACCTGGCGCCTGCACCAGCTCGACAAGTCTCTGTCAAATCCGAAGCACCCTTACTGCCACTTCTCCACTGGCAATCTAGAGGTGCTCAAGACTCTCCCTGAAGCCAGTGGGATTAATGTCAGAGACAAGTTCATTGAATTTCATGCCAAGCACTACTCTGCAAATCGCATGAAGCTCGTCATTTTGGGCCGAGAGCCTCTTGATGTGCTCCAGAAATGGACCGTCGAGTTCTTCTCCGGCATTGCCAACAAAAATCTGGCTCCCAACAGATGGACAGACGAGCTCCCTTTCCGACCTAGCGACATTGGCATTCAATGGTTCGCGAAGCCAGTCATGGACACCAGAGAGCTAAACCTCTGCTTCCCCTTCATTGACGAGGAGTACCTGTACGAGTCCCAACCTAGTCGATACTGCTCTCACCTCATTGGTCATGAGGGACCCGGCAGTATCATGTCATATATCAAAAACAAGGGTTGGGCTAATAGCCTATCTGCCGGCGCTTACCCCATCTGCCCCGGCACACCAGGTGTCTTTGAAGTCCAGATCCGATTGACGGAAGAAGTAAGCCTAGCTCCTTGCTCTGGGTGATTGATAACCTCTAACAGCTTGATATTATAGGGCCTTAAAGTATATCCCCAAATTATCCACATCTTTTTCCAGTACATTGCTCTCCTTCGCGAAGCTCCCCCTCAAGAATGGATATTCCAGGAGCAAAAAGGCATGGCCGACGTGGACTTCAAATTTAGACAAAAGACTCCTGCCAGTCGGTTCACTAGCAGAGTCAGTTCTGTGATGCAAAAGCCCTTGCCACGAGAGTGGCTATTGAGTGCCCACAGCCGCCTGCGAGCATTTGACTCGAAGCTTATCGAGCAGGTTCTATCTAAGATTCAGCCAGACAATCTTCGTCTTTCCGTGGTGTCACGCACTTTCCCGGGCAC